ATTTCAATAGTTGAGATCATGAGTCAATTGAAGCTAGACCACCATGGAAAACCTGGAAGCACTGGACGGCCGTTTCATCCTGTTGTGGGACTCCTCAGAGATGCGCATCCACGACCCCGCCTCGCAGGATTCGAACCCGGGACTTATCAGTCTCGCGCCAGGCGCTTAACCACTGAGCTGGGGTCGTGGATTCGCACTGCTGGGGAGTCACGCAATAGGATGAAACGGCCGTTCAGTGCTTCCAGGTTCTCCATGGTGGTCTAGCTTCAATTGACTCATGATCTCAACTATTGAACTTACTGCAATCTCCACAAAACCCCTTCTGAAAGATTCATTATTTTAATGTTTAGTAAATTTTCGAAGTAAAATTTTGAAAAAAAACAAATAATTTTTTCTTTTTTTGTAACAACAGAAAAACAACAAACGAAATAATTCAGTTTTATTTCTCTATTATTTTTATAGATTTATTATATCGAAGTAAACGATGGCTTCAATGTAACAATCAAAATTTGTCAAAACCACCGAAAATAGTAGTTGCTGAATCAACAAATCAATCGAATATTTGTTTAGATCATAAAAAAGCTGTAACAGATACAATAGAAAAATTAAAAGATTTTCAAACACAACAATCGGAACAAGTTGTACTTGAAGTAGCTAAACAAATAACTAATCTATTAGAATCAGTATTACCAAAGTCATCTATAATTTCATTAAATAATAAATAGTGAATTTTTCTTGATTAAAAGAACAGTTCAATGATTCTATTTCAACATAAAATTTCTTGTATATACATATGTCTATATTGATTTATTTATGAATAGGATGAAGTACAACAATGTACAGCAGATCAGTTTTTGTAAGTCCTTTTTTCATTGATTTGTTTCAAATTGTTATTTGTGTAATGTTTCAAATTATCAGTATCAAATTAAGATAATGACTATTAAATATTTTTATTTTAGTTCTGTGAAACTTGACCCTTAAAAACAAAGGATATTTGTAAGCTACTAGCATTTGATCTTAGATGCCTTCAAATGGATTGCTTGTGTATGTTGGAACTACTGATTGAGCTATGGTGAGGTTAGACGTAGGTTATTAGGTAAGGATAGCAATTAATCTTTATCGACTGAAGTGGTCAGGACATGTATAATGTATGCCCAACCACTGTATACATCGACGCGCGGTGATGACGTGTATGTAATGGTGGTTTGAGAGAAATATAGGGTCGACTTGACTAAAACATATCGTCAGTTCACAAAATTATTGGGTAAGCCGTGTAGGTAGGCGCGGACTATCTGGTTGGAGTCTGTGCGATTATCGTAATCATTGGATAGAGATGTTAGGTTGCACGGTTCAGAATCGCTTGCAGTGATGCAGGTGCATCCACTTTTTGTCTCCTTTTGGATCTTGCGTTTTTTAATTGTCACATACTTCTTATTCCAAGGACTGATTCTTCCTTCTTGAATCATATTGTCTGGGTCTAGTCTTTTCTACCACCAATGATACTGTTATTTATTTTACTACTCTGACACCTATTATGATAATTCCATCTCCTTGCGTTGATGTTGTATGGGAACTTGAACCAATACACATATGTGCTAGATTATTTGTTCCTGACTGACTAAATTTTAATTCTACTTTGTCTATTGAATGCATATTCTACGTAATTTTGTCATTTTTTAATGGATATGAGTTGACACAAGATCTGAATGGACAACAAAAATTAAACAAGACTAATTCTCGGCAGTTGTATTATACAGACAATTAAAATAATGATGCATAAATGTCTATTCGCTCTCATTCTCACAATTCATATAAGTACAATGAAATTAAAATTAAAGAAACCTGAAAATAATAATACGAAGGTTTTAAATAAAATTAAAATAAATAAAAAAGGATAAAAATAAATGACTGAGACCGACCAATCAGAAGAGTTCAGCAGATAAATCAGCGTAGTTTGTCAACTAATGTTTATCTGTATATTTCCATCGTTAATAGTTCTGCATATTGCGTATTTAAAGTGATTATCATTTGATATATAGTACAAATCAGTAATTTTTTTCTGTTTAAACAAGAAATGTAGTTAACACATTTCAAACACTTATATATACGGTCATAATCAACGTAGAACTTGGGACAAATGTACATCAGCTCAAATCGTCACATTATAGCATAGTGAAGTGAAATTAATAAGATCAGTGACTTATATAATTACTTATGCCTGTTACCTCTCGTGGAGCGTAGGCCAACAATCAGGATTCTCCAATGGCAATGTAGTTGAGATGGTAAGAGTAGTAGTAACAGTATCTATGATATTGAGAAAGACTCGATATTGAAAATATAATTTAAGACGAGGAAATGAATTTTAAAGTACCATCTATGATTGAATACTAGGTAGCCTACGCATATCCTCTAATTTAAGTCATGTGCTTTCATAAACGAATACATATCTGAATATGTTATCATTTTTAAATATTTCACTTAACTATTGTAAATATTCACATAAAAAGTTGTTCTGCTGTTTAAACAAATGCTCTCACTGAAATAGGTCTGAAAATATTAAAATCAAGTGTAAGTGTATGATGCATAAGCGACTCGATACTGAAATACATATTTATGTGCATTGGTTGTTTGAATTTTCCTGTTGATGCTGCGGACTACAATCGAACAGTCACTTTTAGCATATCCACGTCCTATGCGAATCGTCTCGATAGTTTCATTAAGTTACAAGCATATTTAAAGCAGAGTTAGTTGGTGGCTAGTAGTGGACTCTAGAACGCGCTTTTCCTTCCATTTTGGACTCGTCAGCTGGATGTACCTGAATCCCAGAATTGATGTTCATTCTGAGATTCGATACAAACTATACGGATGATAAGTAAGAGAACTTTATAAGCTTCTAGAAATGTACGATTATTAAGATAAATGCAACTAAGAAGTAATATTGATAAACACCTTCAACTGTGGGATTTTCGTACAGGTAATGATCAACTAAGTGAGCGACAAAACTCTAGGATAATCTACAAAGGCTGATGAACAATTAAACTGGATTTCGAAAGCCGAGTTGTCGTACAACAACTAAAATGAGAACATTTTACTTAACGAATAAAATTGTTTAGACTCCATGAGACTGTCATTTGCAAAATATAGTGCGTAGCTTAAATAAATGTCACAATAAATAGACATACACATAAAATACAAGTTAGAAAGAAAAAGAGAATAACAAGTAAAACAGTTATATGACTTGTAGGCAAGTACTAACAAGTAAGTACATATTACAAATAGTCATTTAGTAGTAAGTGAGCAGGAGTGTACTTGACAATTTTAGTAAATATTAACATCCCTACTGATAACAATATTCACTAATATTAACTTCCAAGAAACAATCTATTTTGTTATAATAACACTTGAATTGCTCTCACAACTCTATTCAACGTATTTTTTATTTTGCTCCTGTATGTTTTAGATCCCATTATACAAAATTCACAGATTCTACAGAGATGTATTCAACAATTAAGATAATATTCTGCTACATAAATATTTTTATGTAACTTGAATAAAACTTGACAAACAGCTGTTGAATGAATAAAAGAAACTATTCATTCTTGTTGTTATTGCTGCTTGTGTTGTTACTTCTCAAACACTACACTTTTAATCCAACTTCATGAAGCATTTTTTATATATCTACTAAATTGTTTTCTCAAAATTTATATTGATTTTCTCAATATAATATTTTAGATATTGTAATGTAGTTTTCTGTATATTGTATACAGAGCAAAAATGACTTATTTTATTGTTGAGCTAATCCAACAGTGAATAGTCTTCAGTGATTTAAACTGCATCCAGGTTACTAATTTGTCGCACTTAGTTTACTCACATTAGTAAGCAGAAGCTGGAAACCCAAATCATGCGATCATGAGAATAAGTATGGTTTAGTGATAAGCTGGGAATGTCTGGGTAGATTACAGGATGTCGTAAAAATCAAACAACCACGTGGTCGGGGAAAGCTTCGTTGGAGGGATTAGATTATGCCATAAGTTGAGGACTCAGCTGACATATACTTGCCAGGGTCAGAAGAAGTATATATATATATATATATACACCTATAGTTTGTATACAGTACAATTCGGCTTGACGGGTAAGTCTTCCTATTCGTTTTAGTTTCAATTGCATAGTGAGTTTGGTAGAAGTTAAAAGTGTGTATCTTACCTGAACCGAGCTGCAGAACACAACAGACTGATTGTAACTCAGTAAAGTATATACAAATTTGAGTATGAAACTGAAGCGATGCCATTCAATTCTCCATTAAGTTGATAAAATGAGTTCATTACTTTTCAGACACACTGTCCTGACCAAAAACGATGAAAGACAGTGAGGGAAAAATGTTGAAGCTAAAGTTAAACAGATTTTACTGTGTTGATTACCTTATCAAGTTAAATAGTCATCCAGATTAACCGCCAGTGAAAGGACAAACGACTGATAGAATCACCTAATACATAAATAGTTTAGTGAACCTACTCAAAAGGCAAACTCGGGAGTCGACCCTAAACTAAATGGTACCTTCTTATATTTTCCTTGACATTTATCCATTTAACTACACTCCAACTACACAGCTTCAGAGTTTGATGAAGAACGTGGCTGAGATGCATCACGTCACTCAGTCTTCCTGATTAAGAGTACTGAGGGAACCTTGAGCCTGGAAGTTTGCATATGCTGACATGGCTCAGATTAGCAGTCAATGACTGCATTAGTTGATCTCGTTTCACGACCTGACCGTTCTTGGGCTTTTTCCAACCTAGTTCCATACCAACAGACGCTACAAATTTGTGTAGGTGATAGTTAAGCATGCATGGATGAAGCTAACAAGATAGTGATCGGTAACAAATAGCCAGGTTAATTGGATTAATATATAGACAAGAACAAAGGTTTTATTATACATGAATTTTATTTATACAAACAAATTATTTTAGAACACAAATAAATACAAATATAATTAAGACAATATTCTATACACATACATCAGTCATTACAACATCTTGCAATGTATTACAGTTTTGTTTTGTTAAGAGATTTCGCATATGCTCAAAGCCAGATTCAATAAGATAGTGAAATTGTGGATCTTTAACCAGGTCTGTTAATTCATCAGCAGCAAACAATTGCTCTGGGCTTGGTAACAGGGAAATTACATCTACACCTGAAAATTTGATAGGAAAACACAAACACACCACCCGTAGATGGATACAAATTTTAAATAAGCTATTTTATGATCATAACTTATTATTAAGAAATCCGACTAGAAGTAGATAAGGAAAGCACTTTTTCGGAATATTCATCTTCAAGTAATTCTAAGTTGTTCGAGTAATGTTGGAGTTGACGCCTAGAAACTCGTATACTGAGCAACTGCTTCGCATGGACAAGCCGAATATATATAATTATCGAGGATCGTGAAGTTGTTTTATTATGTCATCCATTCGAATCTTGTGACAGTTTCATTGTACACATCAACTTTCATGGTGATGTGTTCACTGGGAAGTTATTTAACTAGTAAACTATGACAAAAACGGCCAGTCAGATTAATGATTTGATGAAATTAAAGTTCAAGTAGGAGTATTTATATTATTGGTTAGCATACCCATTGTTCATATTACTTGACAGTTTTGTTAGTAAAATCAATTTTAAAAAGACGATAATTAGAATTGTTTCCATTATTAATCGATATCAACTGAGCAAATATGAGAATAAATGTATTTAATCCTTTGGACTGAATTTCCAAACTGAAAACCAAATTAACTACTTTACCATCCAATGGAGTTGACTAGGCCTCGTGAATATCTCAACTTAAGCATTTTTAAAAAAGTCGAAGCGCAAAATACAGGATAAAAGAATCAACTTTGAACTTCCACAAACCTCTCATTTAAATGTGTGTGTGGCAACTTGGACCGATGTACACATGTGCTAGGTTTCATGTTGCATATAAACATCTGACTGACGGTCAGATTACAATGAAGATTATGCTAAAATATCCTTAGTTAGTGTTGAACTATCACATACATGTGAAGTATGTTAAATGGTCAATCTTGTAAACTGCATGTACAATATTTGTTTCGCAGCTTAATCTTTTACTGTTCCAGTAATCAGTCTATAATTGAGTCAAATAAAACCGAATTATTTATAGGTCGCATCTCTAGTTATTAAAACAATCATGAGTTGATCATAAACACATAGTTGCAGTAATTACATCCAAAATACCATGTTTAGAAGTAACTTAAGAAACATAACAACGCTCATTTTCCGTGATTCTCAGTGTCCAATAATTAATTTTTTACAATGTTTTGAACAATTTAAAGCGTGTCGACAACAACTCAGAATTCGATAAAATAACTACATCTTCAGATATAATACTAACAGGTTTGATCGCTTTCAACTGCTTTAATTTGAGTTTTTGGGTAATATAAACCATACATAGATTTGGTGTGACTAAGAGATAATACAATGAAAAGACCACAATCAGAACCAGTCAATTTACACTATTTTAGAGTTGTATTGCAAGTCTGATGTAAGTTAATGTGGGTGAGCTGTAATAAATAAATAAGTGATAAACTAACCACCAGACAAAAAGTTACCATTCAGTCTGTTTAGTTTACTAAATTGCTCGCAATAAATACAATACCATATTAGTATGTGACAAGTTGAGAGAATTTACCCATGTCCCTCGCATACACTCATATGCCATCTCAAAGTCAGGGAGAAGTTAATGAAAAATAATAAACGGGACACGCTATTGGGGGAAGTCGATTATGTTGTTAATAGTGTAGGTCTAATCCTACATGTCCCTGTTTGTATCTGGAAAAACAAATGTAAATGTACTAATGACTGATGTACTTAACTACTCAGTTTTATCAATTACACCAAGTATATAGTCAAATAAATGCAATACAAGGGACTTGACTAATGTCCACGTCAGCTTAAGATAACGCACTACATTAACACAGCAAGATGAAGTTATTTCAAAACAAATCATAGACTAGTAAAAGTAGGAAAAAGTATCCGCAATAATGGTTAGATATGTTTAGAAAGTATCTATCTTATTAGGTCGAAGATTATGAGTTGAGTCAGAACAAATCAATTATACAGTTCACGAGATTATTGGTGAGGTTTACACTAAATTGTAATATTTGTGGGAATAAATAAAAACGGGTTGATTTGTGTATTATTAGAAATAATGAATACACCTTAGTACAACATAAACTCACCATTTTTATAAAGATTTGAAACAAGGGCACATATAAAACTTTGTGTGCATATTTGAATCGGATCATGAACATCACCAGAAGTAGACCATCTGTAATAAATATTGTAACATACAAATCACAGATGTAATAATAATGAGAGCAGGAGAATATTTTTCAATCATTGTGATTAACTTAGATGATTAAATTGAAGATACATGAATCCGTCAGAAAGTAGTGGTTCTCTCAAGATTGCGGTTTATATCTTGTTAACAGATGATAACTAGCGCAAAACCTATGTCAAATAGGATCTACTTCGGGCCACCTCTAGCCACACCACACTACAGAAACATAAAGGTACATTATTAATAGTTTGTTTTCTTTAGTTTTAACCAGTATAGTAGGTGTAATGAGCATCAAGGGATCCTAAAATACTTAGTTAAGGTATACACATTAAGGTTTACTATGATCCATCTTCAAATGATATACGATTCTTGCAAACAAGGAGAAATATCCAGACAAACAAATTAGTCCATCGGCTCCTGTATGGAAGACTATGAGAAATAAAATGTACGGAGAATCGACAAGATATCTTGTATTAGTTAGATAGGTTCTATGAAATAATTCAAGCGTGTATTACTCTCCTAAACGTACAATCAAGTTAGAGGTGTGAAGTTAATATGGTAACAACATCACAATAACTACATCAAGATATATCCACAACTGGAATATGAGTATTTCGAACCAGAACACCTTGATATATTGCTTTTATTTAGAAGTTGATCATATTATAGATAGTTTCTATTTTAATGGGAACTTGCATGAGTGTTTTGTCCTAAATGACACAAATTAGCTGGATGCATCCACATACTCCTAATGTTTGTGTTTTTCACTGTGACTCAAAATCCAATAACCTACTTTTGTTTCCGAAATGAAAGTTCAGTTATATTTAAACGACTAATAATTACGACAATAGATAAAAATTAAAGTAAGAAAATTATGTATTAAATTAATAAGTTTGTTAAGATAAATTTTCTCGACATCAATTTAAATTTACAATTGAAAATCAAGAGCAACAATCAATTAAAAAGTATTTCATGTCACTATAATAGTACAGTATCTAGAACTGTACACTCATGACCTCATAAGAGATTGGACCTAGTAAGTACATTTAGGTTTTCTAGTAAGTGTTTAACCATGAGAAAACTGAGTTGGAATCAAGTAATTCACATTTACAATTTCAATCAAACTTGTAATTTATTGTGACAATTATGATTGGTATGATTAAGGTATATCAAGAATGAGACTATCATTTCTGACGGCTTTAGATGATCATTATATGAGTTCGGTACGACCCTTATTAAAGAGTTTCATGTTAGACTGAAACAAATGTCTCGTTTGAGCTAGTCTTTAATGGTACCCCATATAATATCAATCTTTGACAAAAATCCCTTACGAATAAATACGTAGATACTTATAAGTAATTTGATTACTTACTCGTCCATTCGAATCGCTTGACACCAAATATGTAATAACAGCTCATCTCGTACAGTCATTGGATTCTGACAATCGTCATCATCATCATAACCACTATTATTTGGTCTTAAATCTAATATATTTTGTAAAATACCAATTAATGTGAAAGCACGTCGAAAATGCATAATCATTTCGGGTAGATAATGCGTATCATCATTTGACACCGGTTCATTATCGTCATCATTATAATGACGATCAATTTTAACTGATTCACTCAATGATACTGCACAATTTACAGATAAACGAACTAGCACCGGTATTGACAATACAGGTTTATATCGTATATTGGAATCATCAGATGTTTTATTGTTATTGTCGAAGATCGAATCTGATTTAACATGATTCAAATCAATTAATTCCTAGAAAAAAGAGGGTAGAATAACAAAAGAGAGAACATAACAACAATGAAAAAGATAGATAAACATCGAAAAAGAAAAGTATGAATCATGAACAAAAGATCAAAAACCTGTGAATATCACTACCGGCAAGAAATGCATCTTATAATCAATGATTAATTGCACACATTTATCTATTCATTCCGGTTTTAAGTTAAGATGTTTTCATATAATGCTTAAATCGAAGTAAACAGAGCTGAAGTTTAAACGTATAACCTAATGATTCTAGGCTTTAGAAGAGAAGTTCCCTTGAATGAATAATAGATGGTCCGACTAGTTCAGTTGTGATATTGGTGTACTATAAACTGTACTATCTATGAGTAACTATTAAGCTATCGCACAATTTTCAGTCATATTTTATTCATTAGTGCAATTATTATTTACCAGGCTATAACTGAATCGGTCAATACTTCCCCCAGTTTGCGCTCACACATTCCAAAAAGCTAGGATAGTCTTTTGGTTGTAAATGACCTTAGTTCTTCAGGACTAAAAGATGTGGTGCCCCCAAATGACCTAGAACGATCAAGGGTGGGGAGAGTCATCTCTCCCTCTCGAAATGCTCTCACATGGCCACGCGTATACAACCACTGCCATGCAAGTTCTACTCACTGACTTCTCATGGTTAGGGTGTTGTTTACGAAATTTAAAGTTCGGAAGGCGAATATCCGGCGCCTTGACCGGGTTGGTAGATATGGAGGATTCACCTAGGTTAGTTGGAAAACCCTGATTCCAAACTGATGGTGTACACAGGCTCCAGGCTCCTGAAGGAACAAATGGCGTGTGAACCAATTATTAGCCACTGGCTAACATAGGACTGCATCTCCTGACGTTGCTCCACTGCCTTGTGGATTAGACCTTTAGGTCGAAAGTTCCGGGTGTGGTCCCCTAAGAAAACCACCTGCTTCGGTCTGGGTACCCGGGAACTATCACAGCTCACACACAAATCAAGTGACTTGTGTGTATGTATTCGGTACCCCTTTGTACCAATATTTATGTGTTCGAAAAAATAAATAATAAAAAATATGGTAAACATGACATTGGTCACTGCTCAGTGATCAATTAATTATAAATGCTCCAAGTCTTACAAGGGATTAGTTGCGACTCGAATAGCTTGGTGGTAATACCTCAGACTGTGGAAATGGTGGAGGGGTTCGAACCTCGGGAGAAGGGTCTCGGTTCCCTCAATATTAATAGTATACCTTGATTACGGGTAGTAAATAGCGCGAAACCTAAGTGTAGATGAGGGTGTTATCTTGTCGACTATCTCTAATCACCTAATATATCTAAAGAGTATATTTCAGATGAATAGAGTTAAATGTTCCATTACAACAACCATGAATTATAATTGTATCAAGTGGCAAACTTGTCCAACATTTTTACCTCATATTACTGTTCTATAAAATCATATGCATCTAAAGTTGGATGGGAAAGAGAAGCCAACGAAAGAAGCCTAATATTCCTTCAGTTTGATTACGTAGTTAGTATTATTTGTACACTTTGACTAGCAAAACACAACTACACAGTTCAATCATCCCTTGTCTCTGATAAACAACAAATGAAGGAAAATAAATCAATACATTTTCAAACCTGTAATGAGATCCAATCTAGATAAGCATTAACTTTCAATAAAAATGAATCCTGTTGATCTCTTGTTGCTTCTTTCTTTTCTACACATTGAGCACCAGCTAGTCCTTTGTGCATAATATTAAACATTGATTCCGATGATGATCGATCCATCATCGATGAGTCAGAATGATTTATTGTTGTTAAGTAAGTCAATTTAGCTAAACTGAATAAAGTTTTACGACGTCCCAAATATTGAAATTCTTTGCACGCTTCTTCATATAAAATAGTTGAAGCCTAGAAAAAAACATAACTTTTTTTTATTAAAAAAAAAATGAAATTTTTCAAGAGACTTTTCATGATCTATACAAAAACCTAATAAAATTTAAAACAGTAATTTCGTGTATCCTGAGTGGCTGTGTGAGTTCTGACATTAAGGTGACAGATAAATTTACGTATAGTGAAAGCTAAACCAGTCTATATCAATCTACGTCGTCTTTTGTGCCATTGTGATGTTAGTGTTGTTGTAGAAGGTAAAGAAAATGAAAAGAGATGGTTAGTTTAGGATATGACGCCATGGTATGAAAGAAAATTGTACGGAATCGGAGTCTATCGATTCATTAAGTCTTCTTAGTTGGAGTCCGTGTAATAGCATAACTTAGTGACCTGAGACGTTATTAGATATAGTTCGTGATAAATCTGCTACTGGGACGCTTAACACTGACTTCTTAGCCGCCTCCTATAACTCAGACTACTTCTACATGTCAACTCGAATGATAAAGATAAGGGGTGAAATGTGAGCGAGAACTTTATTCCAAGATTAACTCATGTACAGAAGGTCGAGTGTATTTACTGAGTTGTGTGTGACCTTTGTCTTCGAGAACTTTCAGGAGGCGTAGTAAATATAGTGACGATATAAGTGATTATACAATCAAAAAATGCGATACGTGATCCGTCCTTTTTCCAAATACTTTTGAAAGGTTTCTATTCAGTGCTGATGAGATAAAACATTTTCTGGCCTTTTAAAGATATTTATGGATTTCCAACAGTTTATAATCGTAGACAGTAGCAACCCTGCCGTAATTTGCTCCTCATTCCACATAAGAATGAGGAATTTAACTGAAAGAATTCCTTTTTGATCGTTTATTATTATTTTTATTTTAACACATAGGTATTGGTACAAGGAGGCACCAAATACATATGCGCCACACGAATCTCAATTGATTTGTGTGGGGGCTGTGATACTGCACGAGTGCCCAAACCGAAGCATGTGGTTTTCTTAGGGGGCCACACCTCGAGCCTTCGACCTGAACATTTGACCCACAAGGCAGTGGAGCATCGTAAGGAGATGCAGTCCCATGGTAGCCGGTGACCAACGATTGGTACATACGCCATTTGTTCCCGCAGGATACTGGAGCCCATGTGCACCATTGGTTTGGGATCCGGTTATAGCGCCGGACATTCGCTTTTCGTCCTCTCATTTTCGTGAACAACACCCCCGCCACGAGAAGGCAGTGAGTAGAACTTCCCTGGCAGAGGCTATATACGCATGGCCATATGAGAGCATTTCGAGAGGGAGAGAGGACTCTCCCCACTCTCGGCCGTACCAGGGCTCTTGTTCAATTGTTTTTTCTCTTCGATTGTAATTTCTTTACATCGTTTTCTTCACAGTACATTATCTTCTTATTTGTGTGATGCATTGCTTTTTGGTACCTAAATATATAAAAGATGATATAATCTCTTGACAGTACCTGGAATGTCTGGACTGAGACATATGAGAAGGTTAGGAATTCGCAACCCAATATATAATTGAAAGCAGCCAAATGTTTTTAAATGCAACTCCTTAATAAAAAAGTCTACAGTAAGTTATTTTATCACGAAAGAAATGTCGATGACTAATTTTTCCATATCTAATTAGTCACCATCGTTAGGTGTTTCATAACAAGCATAAACTCAAGATGTACTAACATTCTAGTTTGCTACTTCGTATAACCTACAACCTAATTGTTAGGGTAAGGAAAGATAACTATCTATTAAAAATTAGACATTAGCTTGATACAGCATTAAGTGATAGTAGGCAAATAAGACATATTGTTTAGATTTATCTATTTCAGTGAGTTATCAGATAATTGAAGGAAGACGGATATAAATTGTAAATATAACGTTCGCCCTTATCCGAGTTGAACGTTTGGTTATGCAGATAGTTAAAAATTCTCAAGTTTAGTACTACAGACAAATTTTATCGTATACTTTTCTGTGAAGCTTTTATAAGACTTTAAGTTAAGATTCGTTCATGGCTAAGCAATTAGGAATAACTACAATAGTGAATGCAATACAAAATAACCCTTCAACTGAAGATACATCACGCCTCCCCCCACCGATTTGATGACTTTTGACTCAGCCCCTCAAAGTGCTGAGAAGATAGAAGGAGCCGAAATCACATAATAACTCTAACCGAAGATGATACAGGGAAATGTGCTACATATAATAATATATTTTTTTAGAATATCCCTTGAAAATTGGTCGTTGTAGATGCTAGTTTCATTGAGTAGCATGAAAACGGACGTACGCACTGAAAAACCTTTCTCTGGTTGATTCGAGTAGAGTTCTTGATAGATAGTGGATATTTTGTCAAAACTATCTATTTTATACATGAAAACAAAATCGTACAGGGATTTTGAAAATGAAAATATCGAAAAGAGAACATTTCACCTTTGACTGGTTTACTACTAATACTAATAGTAATAACAATAATAGTTTATGACGACAAACCTTTTCATATTGTCCAGTAGATAATAAATGAGGCCATGCATAATTTTGTACATCTTTACGATGCAGGAATTTCTCCACTGGATCGTTATTGTTATCATCCGGTAGTTTACCATGAATAGATTTATTGACATTTGTAACCTTCATTAACGTTACATTATGATTACTGATATTTGCATCTAAAATTGATTGAGATTTATCTAAAATATGAGAGCTATTCATGAAACTATGTTGTTTATGGTGATATTGATAATTATTATCACTGACTTGTTGTATACTGCTTACATTTGTATGAGTAGTAGCTTTTGCTGTAGTAGGAGTATGCAAATTGGTATCATGTAGAATATTTGTGGCATTCATTGTCTTATTCAGTGAATTATTTGAACGATGTAATAGTGAAAGAAAAGATTGAACTCGTGCACGTTCATCATGAGAAAGGAACCACTACAATGTGTTTTGCAAGAAAAATAACAGGTGAGAGATAAAAATGAAGAAACGATAAATTGTGTACATTTCGATTGGGGGCTCTATTGTTTAAAAAACAGTAATTATTAATTAATTAACTCATCAGCTATTCGGATAAGAGTCACACCCTAGATGTGAGGACTAATGATACTACTCGGTTGGTCAAACGGATGTACGTGAGGCAGGGTTCGAACCCGGGATTAGTAGCTAGAAGTCAAACTCCTTAATCACTAAGCCGCAGTTGTATAGAAAATTAGTAACAGTAGCTGTCCCTACATTTGGAATAATTGAAATCGGGTCCAAACTTGTAAACTACTGACTGAAAATTAAAAGTGATTTAAATATGAAGTTAAAACATGCTTCACCGATTCTTCAGAGCTTCTTAACTCAGAACATTTAACTTAATGAATGATTGTAGTCAATAAAAAAAGTTTCATCAATTTAATTACTGACAAATAAGATTCCTGATACCGAATTTCAACTTTAATTAATCACCATGAAAATATTTACCATGTTTCAATAAATGACTGATTAACTTGTATGAAACGATAAAATATTATGACTAAGTCAAAACTTCATATACAATCTTATTGTGTTCATGAAACATTAATGTGTATAATGTGATACTGATTGCTATTAGAGGCATGATAGGAGTTGTCACTTTTCGATTGGCCACACTGCGAAATGGAAATTCTTTCTGAGAGGATACATGCACTTTACATTCTCTATCTCTTCACAACCTCATTTTTATTGTGTGGCGCATATGCATCCGGTGCCTCCTTGTACCAATATTTGTATTTAAATAAATAAATGGCCCTTTTGTGAGTAGTTCTTGATGTGTGAACTCTGTACTTTTCAGATCTTACCAACAGGGAGGGAAACTCACGAGGAAGGTGAAGTATACTGTTTTTAGGGCTACACTCCTCTCCCTCCATTATAAGAAAGCAGTATTGCGGCAAAGGGAAACACCTTACTGATGTCACACTTTTGTAAAGATAAAAGTATATATATAGTTAAAATGAACCAGTTCGAAGTTTCAAACGAAGAACACATTACATATTTTGGAAATTTAACAAACAAAAATAAGTATTAAAGTTATGGGTATATAATATATATGCATGCATACTTGAAGTGCATAGTCTGGAAGTTTCCATTCAGACGGAATACGTCTAATAACTGACGCTAAACGATGGTGGTGAAAGCGATTACGGTGATCTATTTCAATTGATGATAAGCCATTATTATCATCATCTTTATCGATACAATCATCTAAAACGTTTAAATTATATTGTTCATCTTGTACTTCAAGTAGATAACACCAACGCATAATTTGATCTCGATCAATAAATTGTTCAGCTAAATCTAATGCAGATTCAGGTCTATGCAATTGATCACCTGTATATAATATGTGAGAATGAAATGATTAAAAAACATATCGAAAATTGATAGAATGGATGGTTTAAGGTAATTTTCTCTCTCAGGTATACTATGATAGCACGTGGCAAGACTAGTCACGTATCATATCCAGGATTAAGGACCCAGATTAACACCAGATAATACTTTCTTTAATACAGTTACAAGGGTTGAGGGTAAACTCCACTCTTGTTCGTAATTTCGACCATGCAACTGGCAACCAATCAAAATGAAGTGGGAACTCTTATTTATATTGTAGTAATCCTTGATAAAGGGCATGTTTCGTCCTGTCTTCCTTACTGGCTTATATGAAAAATGTAGTTTTATACGACAAAAATACAACTTCATTATGCTACGGACGTATCAACATAGCAAAAGTCATTCCTCAAATTAACCATGTAATAGAAATTACTCCAAAATATCAACAATTTAGTGACTAAAAAAAACGAAAACGTAATAGTGATTACTGGCTACTGTATACTTAGATGACTTGGGGACGTGGAGTTTATCCTCAACAGTTACAAACAGTCATATTCAGTGAGTCCGGAGTAGAAATCAGTAGCAAGAAAGGCAATCATATATTTAGTAGTTAGTAGACTACGTGGCTGTTTGCTTAGACTTGCCCCCAAATGCAATGGTACGGTCGAGAGTGGGGAGAGTCATCTCTCCCTCTCGAAATGCTCTCACATGGCCACGCGTATACAACCACTGCCATGCAAGTTCTACTCACTGACTTCTCATGGTTAGGGTGTTGTTTACGAAATTTAAAGTTCGGAAGACGAATATCCGGCGCCTTGACCGGGTTGGTAGATATGGAGGATTCACCTAGGTTAGTTGGAAAACCCTGATTCCAAACTGATGGTGTACACAGGCTCCAGGCTCCTGAAGGAACAAATGGCGTGTGAACCAATTATTAGCCACTGGCTAACATAGGACTGCATCTCCTGACGTTGCTCCACTGCCTTGTGGATTAGACCTTTAGGTCGAAAGTTCCGGGTGTGGTCCCCTAAGAAAACCACCTGCTTCGGTCTGGGTACCCGGGCATTATCACGAGCCTCACACAAATTCGATGGGATGACAAATATTCCACAAAATACTATGCTAACTCCGACCAGAACTCAGACATTTCGCTTTCACTTGATAACATTCATATGTATTATTATTACTATTTTTTTTTAGATACTATATTACCTATCACTTTTATTCTCACTTCATATATCCCCATTTTTCAACTTATACAGCAGCTCACCCACGGTGGAAACTCTGTTCTATCTAGACGATCTCGACTCACTGCCTGGTCGAAAGTTGAATGCTTCCAACGAATACGAATACTGAAACAGTCTTTCTGAAACCACGTACGCCATTCAAACTGGCTTCCTTCAATGTTCGCAAACTAATGCAGATCGGACAGATAGGGCTGGTTATGTCTTTAGAAAGTCTTAATATCAACGTTTGGTGTCGATCCGAGACCCATATTCAAGATTAGTGAAGTACTACAAATTCGCCCTCTATCTGTCGCTTCAAAAGGCTTGTTTTACATGCATTTATCCGGGGACCCTGTGGCATCTTCTTCATGTGTTGCTGGCGTAGGTATCGCACTAAGTGCTAGAATTGAGGCAGCACTAATCGACTGGATCCCCATTAACAGTCGGTTATGTGCCGTTAGATTAGAAAGTTCCATCAAAGTAAGAAGAAATCGGTGTGAGAAACAATTGCCTTTTCATCATCTCCGCCTGTGCTCCGACAGATTGCAGCCCGGATGCAATCAAGGATGAATTTTACCACCAGTTAACTGTTCTTCTTCAGTAAGTGCGGCCGACAGAAATTGTAGTACTATCTGGAGACTTGAATGCTCAGGTTGGGCGTCTAGGCACAGAAGAGAGTCGTTTACGGGCGACCGTGAGTTTGACCACAAACGAAGGATGTTACGTAACGAAATCGAGCAAAGCTTGCGTAAGGACCGAGAAGCCTGGTGGTCGGAGCGTGATAATGAGCTGAAAGCAGCTACATCTGGTAACTGCCAGACGCTCTTTCAACTCATCTGAGTCACTGGCAGCAATAATTCTGGTGTGAGTGAAACAATCTGTGAGGATGACGGAACACCAATCACTAACATACATCGACGTCTTGGACGATGGGCAGAATTTCCGAAGGGCAGTTCAACTGGCCTGCTGCTCCGGCAACATCGGTCAGACTGTCCTGCCCTCCATGGCCGGTGACGACTGATCCAGCGAATGAGGCGGAAGTCCCCAAGGAACTCCAACTCTTGAAACGCCACAAATCGCCGGGCCCAGATGACTTACCTCCGGTTCTTTTTATAGATGGTGGTGACTTTCTGACTAAGGAACTGACTACATTGTTTAGAAAGGTTTGGCAGCTAGAGAGTGTTTCAACATTATGGAATGAGTCGATAGTTGTCCCTATCTTTAAAAAGGGTTTACAATACCCTATAAAAAACGGGAGGAAATAAACTTCAAAAAATAATTATTTTGTATTGAATTACAATAGTTTACAAATGACAAACAATGGTTATTTAAACTGTATTTATCATTAAAAATAGTTGAAATAGTATGAAAAGACAGCTTACCTACAATCGAAATTAGATACTCCCTTAAGCTTGCATACCAATGCTTTAAACGTCTTAAACGTTGTAATACTTGTAAACGATTTTTAATATTCGGTAGATGTATATGCGGTCGATGAGTTTCTAGATTGTCGTCATTATCACCATGTGACAATAATTCTTTAGTAGAACACCAAGCCCAAGTTGACTGTTCAATGGCCCAGTTAACACGTTGTTTAGCTAAGCTTAAAATACTACGAATTAAATCAATAGCATAATTGACACAGTCGTTTACTAATTGATGATTAGTTGTTTGGTCTGATGTCTGATCAACATGATCGTGTTCATCCAATGATAATGACGACAATTTATTTGAACCAACTTTAACCAGATAGGTTAACTGTGTGATAAAGAAAGAAACGCGTAAAAGATATATGGAAATTAATTATCATATGCATTGTGAGATAAACCGGAAATCTGTGAAGAACGTTGATTTTGATGGAATTTTGTTCACTGAGTGAAGTCACTTCTACCTGAAGTTTGTGCTGATGATGTCGTTCATAAGAACGATGAAAGCTCAACGACCAAACCATTCAGCTCAGAGAACAAAATTCCATCAAAATCATTCACTTGAGATACAAATCTCCACCATCTCAGAATGGTGATTATTTTATCAAATATAACCAATGACCAAAATGGAAGAATGTCTTCTTCTTCTACAGAAAAAGAACGATTCAATCATTACACAGAAGATACAGAATCCTTCTCAACACTAGAGTCATTATTCAAAACATTGGGAACAAGTGAAGAGATTCAAACAAGAGATAAGACAAGCTGATTCGACGACGGAAAGACTACTTTCAGCTTAGCACAGAAGACTACAAAGACTCTAAGGAAACTGAAGACAAAAAGAACATAGTCATAATTCCGTTGTGTTAATGAGGTGCATACGTAACAGGTTCCACGTTGCGACTGATTGACTGAGTCATAATTTTAGATGACAAGTGGTCCCTCATACTTGTCATGAATACAGAAGATTAGATTTAGAAGGCTGAGGAGATACAGATGAAAGAATGTATCAACTAATAGGAACTAATCTTATTCAAAAGCTCAATAACCATAATGGATTTTAGGCTAGAACTCGATTTCACCTACTTTGAATTCAGTAGCCACGTTAGAACTAGTCGTCCTCAGACAAAAAACATATAGCTAAAAGTCAATTACACAAAACCGTGATTAGTAAAATAAGTATGGTACACGAGATGGTGGTTGAACTTTCGGATTACACTATGAAGTTGTATGGTTGCCTTCTAACCTCAATGAATATTAATAAAAAATAAACTTACTAATTTTAATAGAATATTCCCAAGGCCATATGGTTCGTCATCTGTAAGCCAACAAGGCAGATAATAAACTTTTTTAGACAACTTATTCTTCATTTGGTGATTACAGGATTCGATTGTTTTAAATAAATTTGGAAGATGTGTTTCGCGATAACGTACAATTTCAGCAACACCAGCCTAATTCATATAATCAAGATGGATAGATAAAAAAGAAAAAACAAACAAACTTAGTGGTGATTTTTATGCTTCATAGGTTGAGTATCCCAGTTTTATTAAAGTCTTTATTTTATTTAAGTCAATGAATGCATACAATTTTATGGCGATTTATGGCTAAGACAGTTGACATACTGAGCAAATCCAGACAAACAGTACACATTTGAATGTTACGTGGGAGCATAGATACAAGTATTGATGAGAGCTATTGCAGATGGATTATTCACTTACCAAAAACGAGTTAATTTAATCGACTAAACGTAGCCTGTCCATCCATCAAATAACTGACTAAAATTGTTAGAAGTTACGAATAAAGGTGAACAAACGGACAACCGCACTGTACTTCCACGTCTTTATCGATTCAGTTTATTCAGCTACTCTACTACAAGCCAATGAAAGATATTAATATTTATACGTGTCTAATAAATAAGCATCAGTGCGCCTGCCCATAAGGTAGTAGTTGTCTGTGAGTTTTTGACTCATGATTTGAGAGACAAGTAAGATTATCTCATTTGTGTTGGTCGTCTGAATCTTTCCATTGATGTTTAGGACTGCAACTGATCAGTCATTTGTTGGCATATATACATCCTGTGCGGATTGCCCCGATATGACCTCAAGTCACAAGCATTATAATTCCACTGCTAGCCATCATCTATCTCTGCTTACAAGCTAGATTACCGTTCCTACTTTGAAAGTTAGTCCTCCTGAAGGAATTTTATTTATTATTGTGACGCGAAATGAATGCATGGAAGCAGCGATAATGGCAATATAGAGACAATAAAGTGTGAAACGGTGAGGCAGTTGGAAAGTTTGACTTCCAAGGACTTCAAGGGATGCTTTTTAACAAGAAAAATAGAGATAGTATATATGTAATGTCACAGATTTTGAACAGGGTTAGATTGATATATTCTATAGTTTGCAAAATGAATTTGTTATTAACTCAATCCGTGCATTTATTGGAAAAGCTATGCACAAATGAACATGAATAGCAATTATTATCATTATTTGGAAGTGGAATCGAAAAACGTATCCAAAGTAGATTTGATTAACTGAGGAATTCAATATATCATACATTAAAAAGCAAATTTACGCAAAAACCTATAAAATATAAAATAATTAACTCACCTCAATCAATCGTGAAATGTGTATAAGGAACTCGACAGTATTTTTAGTTGTTGAAACGTCTGATGGAACAAAATTTCCCTCCGATGATGATGAAGTAGCAATTGCGGACATTTCAGTGTCAATTGTTTTACAGAAAGTTTTTATTAATTGAGGAATTAAGGTAACTGTTTGTAAAACAACATCTTGTGATTTAATAACTTGTAAGTAATTCGAAGTAAATCCAGCATTCATAGCAACTTCATTAAAAACTGATTGATATAAAGACTGAGGTTCTCTGGAGTAGAGTTTGAGAAAAAAAGTATAAAATTAAAGAACTGTAAACTTGAACAATTTATAAAAGATAATATCTTAATAATGTTTCGATCAGTGAAAGAAAATGAATTTCTAACGCTGTACGGTAAGTTACAAAGAGGAAATTGTTGAACGCATCAACTTTCAGCTTATATATCAAAATAAAACAATATAATAGTGCTGTTAAGCTAAAAGATAAAACCAACAATCAACGAAGGACAGTAATGTTAGACGGATCGAGTCCTAATTGTTGCATTACTCTGGCCATGCTCAAATCAGAATACACTATTTGGTAGATGAATAGATAGTATAAAAATACAATATAGTGAAAATTAGTTCAAAAAAGTATTTCAGTTTAAAACATGGTGGAAAAATATAATCTAAGTGAGATGTGACATTTTTCCCTACTTCTCAATAGTTTTCCAGTTAAATTCAATTACTGATGAAAAATAACCTTGAAAACATGTAAATGAATAGCGGTTGATATGATTGACAGTATTTTAGAATTGACTAGTAAAATAATCACAGTGTGTCTAGTATGCGATGATTATGAGGATAAATGTACTTGAATTCTTGTGATTTTATTATTTAAAACCTTACGTATTTTGAGGATAGTTTATTCTCTAAGCTGGACGACTTAATCATAAGCTTTTCATTGTTTCGGTTGACAACATCGTCAGCACACACTTCAATAAGTTATTAAAATGTCTCCGCAACTGACTAGTTGTATGTTCTGTTGATCTATAATTTAGCTGGTTGATATTCGTAGATGTGTGACCGTTGTTTAGATTGCCTTCACATTTAATCACTGACCTTTGAGTTGTTGATTCTTTTTCTTATTGGGTTGATACACAGAGTTAGTATCGATGTGTTTATTGACTGATGTGTTACCAGAATGTCATACTTCTGAAGAACTCTAACTTTCTTTTTGTCTCATCTGTCCAGTATTTCAACGTTTTCCCAATCGAAGTCGTGTTCATAGTTGTCCATATTCATTGATATGAGAGACGCTATATCGTGGCATTTTGCTTCTAGTTTTTAGTGACCCTTAATCTGACGCCAGTTTGACAGTATAAGTGATTGTTATTGAAATATAGATATGATTAACGACTTAAATCGCATTAGTGAAGAACGGAATAACGGATCAAGCGTAACTCAATATTTATATTCAGGCAAATAAATTACAAACACGTACGATCATACAAAAAACGGTCAGGGATAATAAGTGAGTAATTGAAAAAGTCAAAAATGTAGCTTGGGAAAATAAATAAATTGGTCTGTCCAGAAGCTAGAATAACCTATGTGGGCTTGGTATAGTACCACGAGGTGCTGTCTTAATTTTGATTAGTTAACTCAAGGCTGTCAGTATATAATACTAGCCTATATAACAATGAAAATTTCAATTGACTGATTCACCGGGTGCTTAAGTATGTACGAGGTACACTCCAATTGTAAGGAGTAGTGAGATAATACTCGGGATTTATAACTAAGATACAAGGCATGTAAGAAAAAAAGAATTCAGTGGAGAAAATCTTTTCGACGAAATCATTTACTTAAGCATGTAATAGGTATATCCCAGTTATTAAAACTGAAAACACTATGTACGAATTAGGTGACAGCATTTTGTAAGACTGATATGACTTTTCAGTGAACACAGCACCATCCTATTAAAAAGACTGAAACTAAGGTAGATTTCATTGTCTTAAAGGCGACGAAGAGGATATTTTCGCTTCAGAAAGCTATAGCGAATAATATACCTGATAACCTGTCGTTAATTATAGTAAGCAAGCGCATACTGTACTCTTCCAACATGAACGGCGGTGTAGTTGGTGAGTGGAAACATCACCATAAAAACAAAAGGTTAACATGAGCTTGAAGTCTAATTGTCCTTTTTTTGGTTTGCAAAGTCTACTGACAATGAAACATAGACAAGTAAAAAAACCCACAGAAAATGCAACTAACTTGGCTAATTTCATTTGTAAAGCTTTAGCAAATTCAACTAATTCACTAGCCATATGTAAACCACATAAAAAGTGTGTTTCTGCCCAATTTCCACTATCATCACCAAAATCATCGCCACCATCCAAAGGACAATCATCAGCTGATTTTAGTAGACAATCCACATCTAATGATTGAATTAGACGACCAGCACAATCTTCAATTAATTGGTCATGTTCAATGGAACAACAAGCATATTTTGAATTGGGAAATGTTGTATTCATCGTCATAACAGCATGTCCATGATCGATTGGATTATCGTCATGAAGATGACGATGAATATCATCATCATTATCATGATTATATGCTTTGATATTAGTGGTGAATGCTTGTTCATTCATAAGACTGCGAACTTCATGGTACACATGTGAAATTTTCACATGTTTTTGTGATCGTGTTTTTCTGAGCTGTTTACTACTACTACTACTAGTATTATAATTGTCATCATTGTTGGATATTTTAGTAGGCATTAATAAAATATCCAAATATTTCGGTAAATCAGTTAACTTCACTGATGAAATTAGATCGACATTTATTGATTGATTCGATTGTTCACGATGACATTCAGAACAACATAACTGATACAGTAATAACCATAATTCTTGTAAAGTATATAATGCATCTAATCGTGCACATAAGCGCGTCATCGGTAACAGCAAACTGTCCGTAGATCCATAACGATCATAGTTATCATTGCTACTATGATTAGTAATATTCGCAGGGATAATATATTGGAAAGTTAGAGGACCTTCTAACTCAAGATAATGAAGATCATGAATTGGAATCGAATCAATCGTAGCGGATAATTGTGTGGTTAACCACTGCCAACGAGCATCATATACGGGATGTTCGTTTAATAGACGTTTAATTAAACGAAAATATACAGATGGAAAGTGTTTCCAAGCAGTTTGATCATGAATAATACATTTCAAATAATTCAATGTTTGTTCCTACGATTAGATACACACAATAAAATCAAAATATAAGATTAATCTTTTTCAAAAGTGAGATTTTAATTACATAACATAAAATGTGGTTAATAAGAGTTTAGTTATCAGGAAAATCTAAAGTTGAAATTGTACCACTAGACGTTGGGCCAGTGGTTTTGATGACTAAGCATTGTCGCCAAACCTGAAGGACTTAGTTTGATTCCTGGTAGATTCATAAGTGGGTACTACTGGTAGTTCCGTACAATGACAAAACACCTATCCAGTAGTCACTGATTTTCGAAGATACCTCAAATAAATTCGATCTGTGGCAAATAAAACCTACAAATCTGATTACAACTTACATTTGGTTGACTGGGGTAAAAGTTTTCAGAACAAAATGACCTTACCATATGACAAATCACAAATGACTTGAGAGCTGTTTCATCCCGATTTGAGACTAGTTCTGATCTTCGACCTCAATCAATTCATGGTAGTAGAACGAAGACTAACTTGTTGTCGATTAGTAAGGCGGGTGTTCGATAATATTGAATGGTCATGCACCACCGGATTTTGAAATATCAGTCTAAAAGACAATACGTTCGTGTCAGTGAAATGGACAGCCATGAGTTCGATCCTCGAAAGGGACAGAGAACATTTAAACGAAGCGGGTGCCTAGGTCTGTCTGGTTTTCAACAGATATCTAGCACCGAAGTCAGTCCACAATGTCTATTACACATAACCAGAAGTTTGAAAGCTATGTTTTGACTCAACTTTCTTAAAAGAAAAAAAAAAAAGAACATAAAAATTAATAAGATAAAATGAATTCAAGGAAAACAAATTACCTTAAATCTCATCCAAAATACTCGTGCCACTTCTGATAGACCAACAAACAAACGATCAACTGGAGAGAGTTGAATTGGTTTATCTGGTGATTCATTAGTCAATGATATAATATATGTATCAGTAGTAGTGAATAAAACATTGACTTTTAAACGCTGATTATCAATTGTATGGAGAATAATTGAAAAATCTAATTCTGATTTTTTAAATTTTTGAGAGGATACAGTAGAACAACTAAAAATATATAAATAATGTGTGCAGAAAAATAGGAACATAAAAATAATTATAATGAAGTATCATTATCATTATGATTATAATAAGTGAAATCATAAAAAGTATACTATCTAGCAGTTCGTTCTCTATCACTCTATCGCTGTGAAACATGGTCTGAGAAAATAGAAAATATCCGTAGGCTGTAAGTGTTTGATCACAGGTATGTGCCTGATCCTACGTTGTAGCTGACTGACTGATGTCTTCGAGATATTACTTGCATATTGATGTTACAGTAATGGGAAGAGATGATGAATCCGTTGAAAAGAAGCTGTAGATCATCATTAAATGAGACAGTTGGGACACGTGTTACATATGTCTAATTGCTGTCTATTTTGATAGGCAATGCTAACTAGTGTAGGAGTAGGATGGAAGAAATTTAAGCCAATCTAAAACGTGATATCAGTTTATAAAGTTGTTGATTGTTAGCTTGAGTGCTGTTGATCGATACAAACTATGCAGTTGAGTTCTATATGATAAGTGGTTTTAAATATTAGTGACATGATTTAGGATCAGTTAAAATGGCGCAGATACAAGTTATCTACAAAGTCGATGGGACTGACTCAATGAAAGTTTGAAGCACAAATTTGTATCATTTTTTTCTTTTTTTAATTCTTTACATATTGTGTTGACGAAGAATGTGACAACATGAACTCCCAGAACATCATTTCATTCTGTATACTATACATTACATTCCCTGATCAATGTATTGGGTAAAGGAATATGCAGTCAGATTTAAGCCAAACTGTTTGTGAGAAAGATATTCGATACCATCTGACAGCTTAAACGGAGGCAGGTGAAGTAAGATACAAGCTAGCAACCTTCCAATATATATATATATATATATATATAAGCACCAGAAATAGGAGGTAATCACCAGTGTTAACCAATACATAATGATAAAACCACCGATTAATCAATAACAATAAAGATAACAGAGAGAAGATTCATTTATGCAGACAGCTGTTCGATTACCTTGTAACACACGAACGTGACTTATTCATCATCACTGTTGTTGTCTTATTCATGCTTATTTCTGAACCGGTTAAACTGATTTGATCCATATCTACTAATGAATTATTGGATAATTCATTTGCATAACTACTAACAGTATTACCGACGGTATGAATATCTATACATGGTGTTAAGCTACACAAACCAAATTGACAAGTCAAAAAGATGAATAGATTATGTATATCTGTATTCCCGATAGTGATTAAGGATTGTGGACAAGGTGGCTGGTTTGGTGAATTTGGTGCAAATTCCAATTTGCCAATCAATTGACCAGTTAAAACTAGTAGAGAAAAAAAAACAGCAACATAAAAGTGATAAGCATTAAATGTGTAAGAAAGCTTCAATATTAATGCAACCGTAGCTGCTACTTTGATATGGTAGTCAAGTTCGACTATCTTGATGATCCCCATTAAGTTATATTGCATGGAAATCTCGTCCTTTAGGCCACACTATGTCAGACAGGTCGAAGTTAGAGAATAGTCAGACTAAAAGAAGCAAACATAAGGTTTAAGAGCGAAGTTGTGCCACCAACCGTAATGGGGGATGGAGCCAGTTAAGTGTTTTCTTCAGGTAAATAACATTTTCAATGACCCTGCCTCAAACAGTTGTCCCTTAGGCTCTGTAGTCACACTGTCAGGTCATCAAGATCATATATAACCCAGTTTTATTTATGCGCCCCTCAAGGAATAGTTTCATTTTACAGTGTGGTTAAATAGACAAGGGACAACTGCCCTCATACTTCTAACAGAACTCGAGATCAATTAGGAATTATAAAATCTGTAAGTCAGGTTTGGTTTTATCAGGGCGTAGGATGTGACCTACGAAACCAGTATCTTTTTTGTTTATCTTTTCAAACGATTTTCACTCTTTTTATTTTGTGTTTAATATTTTGTGAATAACCATATCGTTTTAGTAGAGTTTGTATTGACATCAGTTTATTCGGAGGGAAGGAGTTGTGAGTTAATAATCATTTCCTGAGAACACAATAAATCCTAACTATCGGTTAAACTGTATGATTGAGCATCAACTATTACGATTAACATTCTTTCTACACTATCATAATACAATAAAACTATTCTCCACAATCATCATTTGTAACTAGGAGTATACCATTTAATGAATTAATGAAATATGAGTTAAATAATCAGTACTTAGCGTACTGGAAAATGGACTAGAGTTAGTCACTATTGCTATGCGATAAACTGGTGTTACATATTATAACGATCAAAGATTAGTTGGTTAATTTAGGAAGCTATAATTACTCAATGAAATTTAAAATGACAACTTAGACTAATAGTTAATTACACATAAGTTTAACAGGGATCTAACATTTAAACATATATAATGAGTTTGATTCATTATTTGTCACGTATTAAAATTTTCGCGGCTAGGAGGATAACAAATTTTAAACGACAGAAGTGTCACTTAAATCTAAGTGGTTATGCATACACACGTACGCACGCTTGTACTAGATGATAATAGAACGTGACAAGCACTATATGATATAAATAAATAGGTGAAAATCATAGAATAGATGGCTTGTGATTAGCAGCGGAATCCAGGACGCGGGTTTTGACTTACTCGGGACACGTCAAGTGGATGTACCTGTATTCCAGTAATGATGATCACACTAAGACTCGAACCTACTATCACTTTGAACGCCAAAATGTTATCAAAAAAAGATACTGAATTCAGATGGGTTTGGTATTAACACATTATTGATATTCAGGATAGAATATAGGTCAGTATCCCTAATGATATATGTAGATCACGCACGAAGTAATCCACTCAGAATGGATGTGTTGATAAAAACTGATTGAAATTTAGTCGCGATTATCAATTACAGGATAATTCAAACCTTTAGTAATCAAGATACAAAATGGAAATTAGTACATATAATTACCTTCAATGATAAACACCTGCCCAGTACAAATACAATACAAACAGCCTAGTAAGCAGGGATATAATTGTGGCATTGAATCAGTTGGTAGACAAAATTGAATATTAAACCCATCTGAACTGAATAATTCTGTGTCGTCAAAAGGATATTCAATACCAACAGTATTATTAATTACAAAACAAAGAGATGATTCAAGTTGATTAAATTTTATCGTTAAAAGACGAAGTTCTCTTGATGATGATAATTGTGACTGGTCAGTACGACTTAACAGTAGATATGCTACAGTCTGATCACCCGATGTATAACGATTCGATTGTATTGCAAAGTCAACAGCTTCCCAATTTAATGAATCATTTTCAAATGCTATAGTTGAATCGATCAAGGATGCAATGGTATAAACACCACCTATCTGTAAAAAAGATAGGAATCAATGTAGGTAATGTAGACACATATAATATTGAAGGTTTAAAATATGTGACTTAACGATTCACTATCGGGTTGTATGTAAAAAAGCTTCCAAGCATATTTATTTGAAGTAAAGCTGTAGTATATCGTTGAGCCAATAGTGAACGTGCCAACTACCCACTTTAGGGTCACGGTTCATATATCGAAATGGTTAGGGTTTTTATCACAAATTGACATCAACTATAATCCAAGAAACGCAAACTTTGTATTACTTTTATTATCAGAATTTAACTTTTTTTTTTACCTTAATACTTAGAATAATAAATCGTACACTTGTCTTCTCCATCTCCTGATTGATTAAACATGTCCAAATCGCAAGGTCGTTCTATGGTATAGTGCAGGTTTAACATTTATTTATGTTTGTATATAGGTGGTTTTATCCATCAAGTAATAATAATAATAATAATAATAATAATAATAATAATAATAATAATAATAATAATAATAATAATAATTAGTTAATGGTTCCGTTAGCTGTGTTTAAGAACAGCAACCATTTAGTTAAACAGATTCAACTAACAGGCAGTTTCGGCGCTCAATATATTGCATTATATTAATCTATAATTTGGTCGTTCTTCACTAAATTCTAACATGAAACTTTGTAGAATACAATTTGGGTAGATACATGTAATTATATTGGTTAACTTATTTAAATGTCTATTAGTCGTGTCACTAAAGTCAAGGGTCTTTATATCTTAACTATCCCTATATTGCTGAATTTTCACCATAGGTGAGCTGCTGTCTAGGTCGAAACGGATACATAAAGTAGGAATAAGAGAGGGTGAATAATAAATAAATAAATAATAATCCCTATATTGCATCCTAGTCTTCAATCGTTCTTCAACTAATGTAAATTGGTGATCAAAACGTTTTTTAAACAAATAAACAATAAAACTTGGTTAATTATGAGAAAAATGTGAAAAGAACAGTTTTATTTTTATGGAAACATCGTGTCACTTTCAGTGGACACGCACACACAGAATTTACTTCCATACCTGAAAGTCCAAATTCTGATGAATTGACCAAATGTCTAATTGGTTTTTATACAGCGCAAAACAAAGACATTTATCATTATCGGATGATGAGGATGGTGTACATGAGATTAAACGAATAAATACCTGTACAAAAATTAAAAAAATAGAAGTGTGCGAAAAGGGAATGTTTAAAACTTATCTAATTTAAGAAACTAGATAAATATCAAAAAATGAACACTGAAACTAATTTGAGCATGTAACAGTTCTATAAATAATATAAATGATGGATTCTCAATATACACTTTAGATAAACAAACTTTTATTTGGAAAGTTTTCATAACAAGGTGACATCATTCATTAGTCATTAATAATAATAATAATAATAATAATAATAATAATAATAATAATAATAATAATAAACACTATTTTTGTTATATCGGTCATAATGGTACAGATACATTCACCATTTATCATTTCTTAGATTTCGAGCTTTAAATTTATCCACTGTTTCATGTCAAATAATGTTCTATATGCGTAACGTTTTCGACTAATGCTGACAATATCATTAATTCTACTAGCTACTCTGAAATTTGTCTTGACAGTATTATCTCATTATGTGATGTGGCAAAGCACATATGTACCAGGTTCTACGTTGCAGATAATTAAATAACTAACTAATTAGGTTTGTTTTAACGGACTGAGAATAAATAAACTTAACTGCTCAATGATCAATGTAAAATCACTTAATTCATATTAATACTACTATGAGATATTTATTATTAGTAAGATTGTTACCGTTCAAAATGACACAATTCAATAAATACATGAGTTTGTTTCAGTCAACATTCGAACCACACTTTCTTTTGCATGAAAGTTAATGATGCCATATTCAATTGTTTAAACTGAAATAGATTAGATGAGAGTCGAATCAGAGACTTGATTATTGAAAATTAAATGTCTAGATTACTATGTCAATGTCGTGGAAACAGTAAAATAACAACTTGACGTAAAAAGATAGACACTAATATTGTATGAGCGATAGCTCAGTGATCAAGGTGTTTAACTTTCGACCACTAAGTCTCAGATCCAAGCTTCGTTCCACTTCGGCTTGAGCAACTGAGTAGTATTCTTACTAACAAACCCTAACACAAAGTGTGAATTGAAACCGATTTCACGAATCTAAACCTGGTAAATGAGTTAAAATAGAATATTACTATTTTATGGAGTTAAAATTTTCATGATTCGTTGTGAACGATTCGCTACTGTTATCATTGAATTGGGAAGTGTTTTATTTCACTGTTAAGATAATTCATCATTCAACAATGATAATGTTGAATATTGTACAAATAAATTGTGTTGTATTATGTACCATGATTCTTTGGTCTTCATTACTTTTAAGAAATGTCTTAACTTTGTTTTAATGAGGAGACTAAAGAGCGATAAGACATTTTTGGGACACTGTTGCGCTTTATTTTTAATATGTAATTACTAATATTTAGCTCATGTGATTTCCGTAGTCCTCTATTCGCAGGCTTTCGTCTGATTCATGGACTGTTGTCACATCTTCTGTTCCCCAATTATTGTAACTTAATCATGAGCCTAATATTGGAATTTGGCACCATAAATGCCCCATTTCGGCATACATCATATAGTGTGCTATACTCTACTTGTTTATTTACTAATGTAAATTTCTGAGTTACATCTATACAGATACATAGAGAGGTTAGCACAATTATCATCTCATCTCATTGGGTCTTGTCGAGCAAGCTTTATGTAACCAGTTAGTGTCTACCTAGCAAGTCACTCAGTTAAGCTAATAGGATAGGTACAAATAAGGTCAAACTAATCATAGTCGAACTTACATTTAGCATTCACAAAGTCATATCAAGTAGCATAGCGTATTACGGATACTAACAAGTTGTGAGTCAAATCCCAAGTATGTCTAACTTCATTACCAGCGTCCATTTGAGGTCATTACATTTTATTAGATGATAGAACTTAAGAAAAATACGTACATATTTATCAAACAATAATACCATTGCTTAAAACTTTTTACCTCGTTATTTCGTTAGGTATCAGCACTGTAAATTAGTAGTTAAAATGATCGTTACATTAAACGATAAATAAAGTGCATAGTGATAGAGTGCATTAGTTATATAGGTTGGTTAAGTCATTTGTGAGGTTCTGCTTTCAACTAGATAGTCTATGCAAGATTTAGTTATACTAGCAGATGCACACAATCGAATTAGACGGTATAGAGTTCGAACCCGTAATTTATTAGGTAAAAGCTAAATGCCTTTATAACCAAGGTAATGCTCAGACGTTTTAGGTTCGACCTTTCCTACCAGGGTCATGTAAGTGTACATCGTTAGAATAATAAACTAGGATGGGAAGTCAGTCCAAGCAGACAGCCAAACCGCTGAAAACAAGAATAGAATATAGAAGTGAACCAGAGAAAATAACACTTGAAAGAAAATAGGCAAAGAGTTACCGTAGAAGAGAAACATTTTGAGACATAAATGTTATAATACACACGACTCTGACTTAAGTTAGAATTAGTGAACATAAATGAGAACAATTGTTATCCAGTATGAAAATGACAACAAAAAACATAGTATATGCCTTCTATACAACTGTCGGAAGACATGTGAAGTACAAGATATGATAATACAGTAGAAACTTACAAAATTTTCACCACCGCGAGCTGGTAATGATTTCCCTGGACCATTGGTTGTGGTTGAAGAAACCAAACTGAAAAAATTCGAAACGCGACGGCCTAATCCAGATAGCAAACCTTGTGAACGTAGGCTTCCATCATTTGTATTGGTTAGTAAACGGGTAATTACATTGTCCTATACGGAATGAGAAAAGTAGTGTGGAAAAAGGCAACTAAACTTTCATTTCAGAAAGTCAAAAATGATATGTTGTGCCGATCGAAATGGATTAGTGAGATCCTGTTTTAGCAATAATAATAGTCGACTTTCTTTATTGGAGTTATTTATTTATTTAAACACATATACATTGGTACAAGGAGACACCAAATAGATATGTAACACATAAATCATTCATTTTTTGTCAGTAACTATGTAGAGACATTCTTGATTAATTGTACATCGTGTGAGGATTAACAAAACTGTAAAGCTCGGGAAGATTGATTGTGCTTGGGTAAGTAGCAATACCAGCCAGTCATTCATAATCGACACATAACTTGGCACAAATGTGCATTGGTTCAAGTTGCCATACTATATCAGGATAACGAAATGAAACCAACATGATAAATAGTAAACATACCGAAACAATATTAGATGAAATGATGGTGAAAAAGCTTAAAGACTCAGAATACGGTTCAAAAAGAGGAAATACAAATATGAGGGAATATTGGAACTCAGGATCTAGAAGAACGTAACAAGTTCAGCGGTGGCCTGGTAGCTAAAGCGCTTGTTTTTCGGCCATTAAGATCCAGGTTAGAAGCCCACCCAACCTAATCCGATTTCGGGGACTGGACAGCATAATTAGTCCTCACACTTAGTGTGGCTTATATCCATGTACTCAATAAATTAATTGAATTACTTTTCTCACTACAGGAAAGTGAAGGTACCGGGTAAATGTATGACCTTGAGACAAACACCAAACAATATTTTATCTACTTGTACTCGATCTAAACAGAATGGCACTGAAATAGATTCAGTCTACAGAATCGACTAGTATGAAACAATTAATGCGTTACACACATAGTGGGATTTAATTGATGCGTTTGTATCAATAGAGAAGAAATTTTACTTATCAGTTTACATAGTCCATAAAGAGAATAAACATTGCAGAACTAAAGAACCAAGAAATATCGGACATAAACTTTCATCAACCGCACCGCAGCTACATGAGATGGGTGAGGAGTTTAAACTAATAACCCCCCCAATAAAAAACCTTGTAGTGGGACATTTAAACGTTTAATTAAGTAGGATATACCCAATAAAATGACACTCAATTTAAGGAACAAACTGGTGAGGTTGTAGTGGCTGATACTGTTAAGTTCGTATTGGTTATCCTAGCTTCCAGACAGACCAATGTATTCATTCTTGAGTCACATTTTGACCTTGTCACTTATTCACTTATAAATTCTGACTGCTTTTATGTGAGCGTGTGTGTTAATCCTTTACTCTATTCACCAAATATGCATAACATATTTTTGTCTGACTATAAATATCGAGTCACGCTTGGTAAAATGGAGTTGGTTCACTCGCCTTCCCCACTGCGCGTCGTTTCATTTCGCCTCACTCCCTTTACTGCGTTTCCCTGATTGTCTGTTCAGACCAAAAATTGTATATTCTAAATTCATTCTCGTACTTAACTTATTTAATTCCGTTATTTACCAACGCGATTTAAGTCGATGATTATGTCCGAGGGTTGGCAGTGTGTATATTTAAATAGCAATCATTCATATGAACGAACTGGAGTCAGATTAAGGGCCACTAAAAGGTAAAACAATATTTGTATGGTCAACGTTGGGTCCAAATAAAGATTAACAACTTAACTCACTAAGTCCAAACTTAGTGTATTTCTTTTTGGTTATTTCACAAAAAATACCAATTAAGAATAAAATTCAATTTAGGAAAAAAACATTTGAAAGCACTTAAATTGGTTTCTGTAGCCCTAGTTTGACTGATAAAATCAATGATCATACAAATTTTGAGACTAACCTGAGGATTACGTGTATCAATGAGAATAAGATGACCAGTTCGAGTGGCGACAATAAATGCACCAGACTAGAATATAAATAAAATTTTTAAAATGTACATTGAACAACAGTCGAGAATAAAATCACTGACAGTAATTTTTTCTTAACAATGAATATCTTACAGAAGACAAGTTAGTTCCATTAGCATTTTCGATGAGGCAAACTGAATATATGAATACATGTGAATTTCTAGTTTTGATAAGATAATAATAGAAGCTGGAGGCACTATATAAGTAATTTCATGAAGATTCTTCTGATACTCTGTGTAAGTGGATAGTATTTACAATGTTTAGTTCTTTGACTTAACGGTATATACATGTTTGTATCTGAAATTAGTAACCGTGTTTTGTATTATTGTAGTACTTTTTGTTGTATCCCGATAAGAATATTGAATGGTAATTCTTGGGATCCAATTATGGACCGATATTATGAGTATATTTTTACCGTATAATTGTCACGTAACTAGTCTGTTCATATCCATGTCCCTCTTATTATGAGTTTCATTTCGACCTATGAACTATCATTGTACGATTTACCATTCTTGAGTTATGCCCTATCTATTGATTCCTATCTCCCTCATTCACAGCCACATCTGGCTAATTATTGTACGAATGTTGTTTCATATTTTATTGGTACGTTGTGGTCTGTTTGATCGGTATATAAACCGAGTGTGTTTGAAATATAATGATTCATATCTCCGAGGCTGAGACTTGTGTTCTGGACTCAATTGGCTGGGCTAGACAGGGAAGCAGGACCAATCAGAGCTCTAGATTGCTCGCTCGTGTTTTATGCGTCACTGTTTTCGATCGATAATAGGCTGCTCTCTAATAGGCGGATCACACGTTATAACAATTGGCGACGGGGTAGAAAAAAATTTCTGAACCCTCAATCTTCAACGTTAACCTGTAATTGGACGAGATTCAGTCTAATTATTTCGAGCAATCAGCATTCAATTTTGTCATCGGCGTCCTTGAAAGACATTGGTTGTTAATTAATCATACAACATTTCTCATCACGTGCTGATTCAGGAAATGGCTATCTGTCCCGATCAATTACAATTGCTATTTGAGCGACAAACGCAGCGGTTCAAAAATAGCCAGCTGAATGTTTTAGACAATTTACGTACACGGCTGCTAAATCACCCATGTTTTGGAGATGTTACAGAAGTTGATAAATTAATTTCTAATTTGCATACGGAGCTGGAAACGGAATGCAGTACATATGAATGTGCTGATAAAAGCCTCTATGAATCCTTGATGAGCAGTAATGTAAGTGAAACAGTCATTCACGATGCGCCCAGTGATCCAGTAATGTCCATTTCAGAGACATGCCCTGTCGTGGGTTCAAATCCCACTGCCCTTGAAGCACCATGTACAAACAGCTCGCAGAAAGTCGACGTCTTATTAAACGCTCATGAAATTCCTGCAGTACCCGCTCACGAAGAGACAGAAATTGAGTCAAGCATCATAATGACGACAGTTGCATCAAATAGAGTTCATCATTCCAGAACAAAAGTTCCTGATGAATCTACTCATTGGAGTTCTCTAGTTTTATCAAATATGAATTATCTCAATGACTCCTATGCTTTTGATGAAATTTACAAAATTGAGAAAAATTTGTCCAGTGCTTCAAACGATGATCAAGAACCTAATAAAATTTTGATAGATGCTGATTATTCTAGTGATCGACTATCTACTGATGAGCTTCTCCAGAAATCCGATGAAATGTTCCAGAAGAATCAAACTTTGATGACTTCATATCAAGCGACGTTGATCCTCACCATTTAATCAACTTTAGAAAATTTTCTGCTCAATGTGACAAATACTATTTAAATAAAGTCAAATTAATGGTAGCTTGGGTATATGAGGATCCAACACTGTTTCGTGGGGGAGGATGAACTCGGAAAATTTAAAATCCGGATATCGACTCCGGATCTCTTTCAAAAAGGGGAGGTGTTGTATCCCGATAAGAATATTGAATGGTAATTCTTGGGATCCAATTATGGACCGATATTATGAGTATATTTTTACCGTATAATTGTCACGTAACTAGTCTGTTCATATCCATGTCCCTCTTATTATGAGTTTCATTTCGACCTATGAACTATCATTGTACGATTTACCATTCTTGAGTTATGCCCTATCTATTGATTCCTATCTCCCTCATTCACAGCCACATCTGGCTAATTATTGTACGAATGTTGTTTCATATTTTATTGGTACGTTGTGGTCTGTTTGATCGGTATATAAACCGAGTGTGTTTGAAATATAATGATTCATATCTCCGAGGCTGAGACTTGTGTTCTGGACTCAATTGGCTGGGCTAGACAGGGAAGCAGGACCAATCAGAGCTCTAGGCTGCTCGGTCGTATTTTGTGCGTCACTGTTTTCGATCGATAATAGGCTGCTCTCTAATAGGCGGATCACACGTTATAACACTTTTTATCACGAAGATTTCATTTTTTAGTAACGTGGATTTAGAGTACACAAAAACAAGAAGTCTAAAAAGTATTTACTTAAAAATAGTATGCGATGGTATTTTTCATCAAAATGCTAAGTATGCCTTACTTGATTTAAGGGATAAATTAACGAAATCTCAGAGTTAATGAATTGAGAGAAGCTGTGATAACCATCAAAAGTTAAGTAAATATTGAGGAGGGACTCAACAAAACACATGCAAGGATTCAGTATTGTTAATATTCCTTCATATGATATTGACGCAAAGTGAAAAACAATATTAACTGAGGCTACTATTGTTTGTGCTTTGACTGGATTTTACAAGATTAACAAGTCAACTAAGACAAACATGTGCTTCCGTGAGAGATTTGACAACAAATGAACATTTCTATCAAATGAAGTGGTTACCTGTTACTTGATAGTCAATCACTCATTAACTTTAAATACGGCTACATAAAAATAGTAGTTTTAATTTTACGTTCGAAACTAAAAATGCTTTCCTTGAAAGACAAGTTTCTGAGGGAGTTAAAATGCAACTTTGTCATAGAAGAACCGTTTAACAGGTGCTGATTAAAATCCTAGTCATTTTCATGCATATTGTAAATTTCATAAACCTGGTTGCTCACTGTTAACTATAGATAAGATTGTGATCATTATATGGAAAACCTTGAACAAAAAGGTGACCATCCAACCTGGTGTGTCTCAGGGTCTACTTTCACGTAATGCTCTTGTTAAATAGGGAGAAGCTTCAAAATGGTGAGTGAACAAGATAATGGGTATATTATAAAACTGTATAATGAAGTCTAGATCTCTTTCAAATCAAAATGTTTGTCCAGAAATTTCAAAGTTCACAAATAACCCAGAACAAAAAGCATCAAATTTATTGACTGATTTTATATCTTTGTTTATTCAAATTAAAGTTTTCCTAAATGAAATATCAAAACATGAGTATGTGTAATGAATCCCACACCTAACACAATTAATGTGAACTTAACAAATTTTTGAGCAACGATTTTACTTTGTGTAAATTCGCGTTTAATTTTAACAATTGTAAGTCAGTAACTCCATTCCTGAAGATATTGACTAGTTACTATAAATATTTGCATTGTTAGCTACTGTAGTATTATGCAAGAAGAGTTGTATATTACGTGGTTTACTCAAAAACGGTCAGATAAGGATTTGAGCTAACTACATGAAGTTATGTTTATTTAGGACATCATAATGTGCTCTTAAAATAATATGATACTGCCATTATTCAGTAGAAATTGTAAAAATTTGATAATGGAAAAACAACTTACTACATGAATATGCTCTAACTGTATTGCTTGGTCTCCAAATAAACCACCAATGGGGGCCGGTAGCACAGAATCAACATGGACATAGTTACGCATTAATCGAGGCCACAAACGCAAATTACCACCACAAGAACTAAGGGCTAAGCAACCTGTGGGCGATGGTGATGTTTCTGAATCGTTTGAAGGGAATAATAAGCCAATAAGTGAAGCACTATGTGGAAGATCACTAGCAGGTAAATCAAAGCTCATGCATGAAGAATGAGGCTAAAGAGTGAAAAAAAGTAGTCAGAAACCGATTAGCCATACAAAAACAGATTGCGCTAGAATAATCACTTTCCATATAACTTAATTCTTTACAAAATTTTCGAGAAGCAACATACTTGTGTGTTTGAAGATCTGATGTACTTCCATAAAAACAACTTGTTTCCGGCAACGACGACTAACCATTCGTTAGCGAAAAATCGTGCACTTGAGGCTGGTGATTAGAATATAAGCATTAAACATGATGGGGCTTACAAATAGAAGTGCGCAAAGCTTTCGACGGAAAAACTGGGAGACTTTCTGATACTCTCGACACTTGCAACATACGGGAGGGATGGATATCCACATTGACACATGAATACAAAAGCACTGAACCGGGACGCTTGTCATCATACATCATTGTATTGCAACAGGTAAAAGCTGAAGTGCAAAAAATATAATTAAGCCATTTATGGAAGACCGAGAGAGATTATTTAAGTGTTTGTGAAACAGCATTTCACATCAGGCACATTTTGTAGCTTCTCAAAATAGAATACGCTGTTTACTTAAATTCAAGGACGTTCATGAAGTTGGGACCTGACTTCAAAACCCAGGTGTTTTAGCAGAAAAGATCTGTGGTAGGGCATTACAAGTGTGAAAACCTTAGTGGTAATCCTATAGGATGAAGTGAATTCGGTTCACAGCTACTAGTGGGGTGTTTTGAACCTTGTGATGAATTTACAGGACTTTTGAATGCTTAGGTGAAGACGCGAGATACTATACCCGACACAGTATTAGAACGCAAGGCCATTACAGAAATAATGGTAATTAATTATAAGTGCTTCATATAACCAAATGTAGGGCCATCGAAGAGATTTCTGTCATCGCTTATTAAATAGATTGTTCGGTAGGAAAAAGTAGACAGGATGTACCTTTATAAGATTGTCGTCTAAGCGACTACTGGAGCCCATGATTCACTAACCTATGTAGAGTAACCTACCTACGTAGCATCATATAGGCGTAGAACTAATTGCCGCAAGGCATAATGGCAGGGCAGCATTTCCTGTTTTCAAACAAAACTGATTCGTCGCATGAAAAAATCACGAAGATCGATGTACCATTGAAGTGGATGACTTATATATACACTGTGTAATATATGTATGAAAAGCATTTAATATAGAACGGATATGAAACAATCGCGTCGAAATGAAAACTGAAAAGCCTAAAAAGATGTGAAGTATCTCATCTATTCCCATGATGATAAATTGGATTTTCAGGGATTATGAATTATTTAAACAGCACAAAGTTTTAGTATAGTTTGTAAGATTGATGAGAAGAATATATTTTACATAATAACATCCTTGGTTTTTGGATTGTTACAAAGGAAGCTACATAAATTCCACAAAGCCTTATCTAGACACTGTACCTTGTTAGTCGTGCTTTCAAGGTCAAGAGCAATCTTCAAAAGCACCGCTCTGGACAATGGTTCAAATGGTTGTGGACGGAATACAAGAAGCTTTCGCTTAACAGGCTTCCGTGTCTAGTATCAGGGGATCACCAATACCTCCAGGCAAAAACCTAGGCATTTTAACGATAAAAGAGAAAGAAAATGAATTGGTAAATCATAGTAGGATACTATCCTTAGTCCTTAAGAATAGATCAAGTCGCCTCTTAAAGGACTCCTGGGAAGTTGCTTGGACTAGCTCAGCTGGCAGCGAATTCCAGCATTTGACAACTCTTAAGGAGTAGAAGTTGTGTCTGCAGTCCGTTCTATTATGTTGTATTTCCAGTTTCTGGGTGTTACCCCTTAGGTTAGTGTTGGGACTAAGCTTAAGTAGGTGTTTAAGAGGATGTCCTGGTGTGTTAATGATGCTGTAAGTCATTAGAAGGTCACCTCTAAGACGCCTATACTCTAATGGGTAAAGGTTAAGTGATTGAAGGCGCTCATCGTAAGGTTTAAATTTGAGTCCCCGAACTGATTTCGTGGTAACAAAGTCCAAGTAGTTCAAATTCTTCTAGACGGGATAGACGAAACTTTCGCTTAATGAACTTCTGTTCCTGATAGCAGAGGATCCCTGATATCTCAAAGTAGGAACCTATGTATATTCAACTATAAATAGGGTCGAATAAGACTGTTAAGAATCAGATGGAAAAATCTACTTCTGAAATGGCCAAAACTGATCTTCGACGTTATCAGTGCAAGGTTCGCCCGAAAGTAATTCTCATCGCAGTTAGTACATGACTTCAGAACATATGGTACGTAGACTCATAGATCGTCTTCAACTTGTAACAACTGTGCAAGAAAACTGTCTGTTATGTCCATAATCGGTAACTTTTGTAAAAATGGAAAACTTTACACTTTGAAGTCCATTGTAATCCGCCCAACTTTGAAGTTGAGTCAGACCCTCTCGAAGCTTCAGGGTGTCACTAAGGTTGTAAAATTGTCCTCAGTGTTTCACATCATCAGCGAAATGTTGTGAATCAGACTAGATTCTCTGAGGAAGAGCATTTATACAAATTGGGGAAAAAGAAGAGGTCCTAGTACTAAACCCTGAAGAATATCATCATGGTGAGAAAAGTTAAGTTTACCCTGACCCTTAATGTCGATTATTTAAATATGAAGTAAGGCAACCGGTTCAGAAGCTCAGGCGTGGTGTTTACTACTTATGTTATTGTATACAACACCAATCGGAAGTGGAAAACTTGGCATCAGAAGGCGAAGAAAATCGACTTGAATAGAAAGTAAGGGAAAGTAGAAAGGCATTATGAACTGGAAGAATCATATAGAATGTAAGGAACAAATGGTGGAAATCTGCAAATGAAATATTCAATGTATGGTCCTCAAGTTTTACCAAGATTTTCTGTAACTTTTTACTTAAATTCAATTCGTTGTACACACCTATGTTCTCGTTCTCAACACAAGTAGATGATATCAACTTTTACCTTGAGATTAAGGATGGTTGTCCTTCTATCCACTTCTGTCAGTAGGTTGATTACACAAAAATGACTCTTCCAAAGACTATGTAGTTGATGTGAAAAGAAGTTTGTGAATAACAAGTATTAACTCAAACTGTCATATATCTGGGACTTGTGAAGGTAATGAGGAAAGTGCTATCAGCATGTAACTTGAAAGTTAGCTGTGTCGACCTTCTTTTGAAAATTGGTGTTGTTGTACCGTCCTCGGATCAGGGAATCTGTAAACGTCATACTAAGTGGTTTTGAAGCCGCTTCCCTCGGTATAGCGGAATGGACCATATCCGGCTCAGGAAAAGTATCTTTGTTTAGATGCCGCAGTTTCCGATACATCAGGTTAGTGCCCAGGTTCACTTTTGAGAGTTTTATTAAGTTACACATAAAGCTGTCCTTCATGTTATTTGCATGAGACATTCGAAATAAGTCGGCGGCGTCACTGTTGTTGATAGTTGGGCCATCAGGACCTATCGACTGGGAAAATCCAGTATTGGCTTATCTCATACTGAAGCTTGTCTTAACTTGTTGCCTTTGTGCATTAGTTCCTTGCTTGTTTGGTCTGCCTACATGTGCTGGCGTCGTTAGTTTGTTTGTATTCCGCTCAGCAGTGCCTTTTTTTCTTTTTGGCTATAGGCTGCTTGTGACTTTTAGGAACCGTTTGCTGGACAAACTGTTTTATGGAACGTGGTATTGTGGGCTTCTTGTAGATGATTCCAACTAGACACCTCGAGGTTTTAGACCTTAATACTGAGGACCATACAGATGTATCAAGATCTTTAATCTCTTGGGTGCACTCTTGACGTGCACGCAGGTAGATACAAGGCCATTCCTCCCCCGAATCCTGTTTTTCTGTCGCTGCAAGCTCCGGGTGCGTTATGTGAGATGTTCATATTCCAGATACTCCTATCATATGAGCATTATTAAAATTACTTAGTCCATCTAACTCATCTATTTCTTTCGATAAACTTGCAGTGTTCATATATAGGCAGTTCGTGTTTTTGATTTGAAACGCGTGAGCTTCCTCATCCTTTTTGTCTGAATGAGCTCTATGTGAATGAATAGGCAACCTAACTACGCTGAGTTTTCCGAGTTGGTAATTCACTGCCCTTCTACGTTTTTCCTTTTTTTGACAGTTCACAAGTGGAAGAGCCGGTTCCGACTTGTTTTTATGTTTAGTCCCTGCATTATATGACTTGTCTGGATATGCACTGATTCCAATTGGTAACCAGCGTTCGTTGACACAAATGTCACGAGAGAGGCAGATCCCGTATAGGAGTATTGGAAGGCTGCTTTCATTGGTGGGGTCTAGAAACCCTGTCCTTGTTGGCTGATCGCACTACCATCAGATCAATATGTTCTTTATCTAGTAGGACTGATTTCGAATACCTCTAGAATACCATACTCTGTACACTCAGGGTGTTACAGGAGAACTGGGGACATTTGGCTGGTTGAAAACTGTTACGTTAGATATTAATAATTTCGATGTGTTTCGAGATGTATTTGTTTTATTCAACATCTAGCCTTGTTTGCTTACATCTTTGTCTTCGGTCATTTTGGTTCCTCTCTGTTTTTCACTTGGTATTTGAAAGTTTCTGCTCCCGTGAACCTGAAAAATTCGAAAACGATATTTTGGTCGGTCCTTTGTATTTCGCGAATTAACTTTGGAGTTTGAATTGGTGTTTGGTTGTAATATTATTACAAGTAGATCGACATACTGTGCTTCAATAATGAAAAAGAGCAAAAGCTTGGACGTGACACTTCGTCCATTTTATCTGGGACACTTTGAACAATGATATTTTTCCACGGAAGTAGATCTCTAGCGATTATTTAGGAATGTTTCTGATGATATCACGCCTAGAATATGATGTTCATGGCAACATCCTAACGTCTCCTGGTTTCAGAGAGTTATTGGTTCGCAGAACATTCACTACATCAGCAGTGTTAATGAACTATACATTAAGAAGTTTTGTATGATTTTGGTGATTTGTATCCTTCTCCGTGTAAGCCATTTAAGCGTTGGTGGCTCAGTTTTGGTAAGTTCGATCTTAATGTTCAACCATTTCCAAACCATCTGGTCATCTTGTTCAGGCGACTGAGATGTTACAGCTGTCTTCAAAGTCAATGATTATGAAAGAATAATCATGAACCGTGATCATCTCAGATTTTCGGGTACATTGAGGTTGGAGGAGTTTTTGTTTGTCAATTGGATTACGTTTCGGATGTCCGTGCTCCTTGCTGACTGGTCGAACATTCTTATAAGCGGATCGCACGGTCGATTCATCAGTCGACCTGGGAAGTTCAATATTTTGACGGTGAAATTCGATCCATTTTAGCTCTATTAGAGAGGGTCCAGTCTCCCCCAATAGAAGTTTTGGGGACCATATTTGGATTTGGAGGAGTTATGCTAGGGAATATAAATTTACTGGAGGAGTATGACGACACCGGTGTTATGATGATGCTGAATTTCATCATATCCTCGGTAGTGTTGGTAATTGTTCCTTCAGTATTAATGTTGCCGAAGACTTTGTCCTTTATCTCACTGGGTGTTTATGCCTGTTTAGCCGTTTCATGAATGCTGTTTTTCAGGGTAGCTGACCATTTTTACCGCGAACCTATTAGGAGAATGATGATTCTGTTAAGAAAATCCCCAAATTGCGTTGTTAAAAATCACTGTCGTCACGCATTTTTTTAAATTGCAAGAATAGACAGAACAGGATCTGAATACAAAGATTAATGAGCTACCAATAGTGACTGCAGCTGGTGTCTGGACTTACAAGCTGTATAGAATAATAAGCCATCTTGGAAATGATAGTCAACGGGGGATGTTCTTTGACATGTCGATGGCATGGGACAGTGGCGGTAGACTCCCAAACTCGGGTTATTTGCAGACCAATAATTGACTTCTAGGTGAGTGTGTTCACGTCACATTGGCTACACCAAGGCATACGCCTCATGTCCACGACAATGACAGGGGTTGACAGAAATTGGTTACTGGGAGTTAGTGAGGGATATCATTTTGAATGACATTGCTAGGTTTGAAGTGGTTACGAGTTCACCAAGTTTGCGACTTGTGACCAAAGACCAATAAAATAGGTATTCTGTTGCGTCCCAGCCCCGCTAACTAGGGAGAGAAGTCGAAGTCCAGACGGGGAAGTATATTCCGCAAAAAGCCAGAAGCACAAGTGATAACAACAGACACAAATCAAAACCTATACATACAGCACAAAACCGTCCCTGGGAAGCGTTACAAAATAGCATACTAAAAGATACAACGGACCAATATCGTTTAAGATTGCCCAAGTGAGAAATATGACATTAAGGTGTTAGAGCATTTTTGGCGCGAAAACAAAGCAATTCAGATTTTCAAAATGAAATTACAAAATTCGAACCTTTTTAAGTGAGTTCTGGGGATCTAACGTCCGCAACGAACACCTAACACAATGAACTTTGGACAAAGCACACATCTGGAATAAAAAGATCCTGGGTTAATTGAGGCACAGAATGTTTGCTACAGGCCAAACCACGAGAGTCAAACGGTGATGATCTCACTGACTTAGAGATGGTGAAAACCTTCAGTGCCAACTTTGTCCACCAAATAAATCAGAAGCTCTTAAGCTTGAAACACCTCCCAAATCTAGTGATAGTTGAGGATATGGTAGACATTCAGCTAATTGCCAGGCTATTATTAAATAGACTAAAGTTTCTACTTCAAGGAAAGTCACTAGGACGTAACAAAATCTGAGTTATAGCTCTGAAAGACTGTTCAATGAACAAATGAGAGAATACACGGATGAAAGCAATGTCTTTCATGAAGTCTAACACAGGTTTAGGGAAGGCACGTCTTGTGCGTCTAATTAACCCTTAGCATGGGACCGCTAGACGATCTACTTACATACGCATGTCCGTTACTCCTGACGAAAGAATACGGGCCAACCAGAAGAATTCCCCCGTAGGAATCTATCCTAAGCAGTTCTTCTATGTAGTTTCCGGTTTCTATTGTTGGGCAGCTTGCTAACGCCAAAAGATACCGGTCAGTGTTATATTCCATAGATTCTCACAGTTCTCAATACCGTACAACACGTGCCTAAAAAGAACCTTGCAGTGATGAGTTTCACTGACTCATTTTTATCTTGGTCCCGAAACTGCTTAGAAAACAGTATTATTTGACTTAAGTTCAATATAATGCATATTTTGACGTGGAGTCCTTCACAATAGACTCAACGATGAGCTCAAATGAACTACCATTTATTCTAGAAATAGTTGTTTAGGCGTCTGGACAAAATCTGGATTCTGAAAAGCAGCACTGTTTTAGTACAGGTAGTGGATGTCTCATAATATTATTATTTGCACGTGAACCTTGGTGTGGTCTACAAGATCATAAGCTAAATATCTATGCAACCTTCGTTAACCCCAATAAGGCTTTTGACAAAGTTCCACACAACAGGCTATTATCTAAGCTAAGTGATATCGGAATGGGAAATAAATAATACGGATAAAGGAACTCCCCTCTGAGAGTCAGTAGAGGGTACGGGTGAACTCCAGGTGGCATATCTAGGACATTGTGCTTAGTGGGGTGCCCCAGAGTACATTATAATTTCCAGGGATACTTCTGTGTGTAAATGACCTTTGTAGTTCTCTATCATAGACAGTTTTGTTATGTGCTGATGATATGAAGATATGAAAAACAATGAAAAACGAACACTGAAATGTTTACAGGCCCACAACAAATCACTTTTCAGTTAACTATCTACTTTTCCATCAGACAATCGACAAAACAGAATTCGTTATCGCAACATGGGATCAGAGTCACACCTGTCGACGGATTGAAAACAGTTACATTTACTGAGAAGCCATCATTGTCAGGACTAACATAGGCGATCCAGCAACCTATCATTTCCGAATCGAAAATGAAACTTTTGCGGTGGTGGAGAGGTCAACCAGATGACAAGGATGGCACTCGGTACACATGACCAAATGGTTACGCATGTGCACTTTCCAGTAATTGTATTCATAGACTACATACAATAGTAATCGAGGTAAGTGAGAGGATTTTGCCTATGTGATGTTAATAGTCAGATTGTGATAACTGATAACTGCGTTTGTGTATTACCGGCGATGTTTGCTTGGACAAAAGAAAAATAGATGTAGTGGAGATACTTGGTCAGTTTCTATTGATCATGACAGACACTAGTCGAGGAATTTCAATGACGAAATTTCACCAGATTTATCTTTGCGTGATCGCTGAAAAGCCACTTACTTACAGCAAAGTTAGATGAAGAGAAAGCACAGGTGGACTCCTGCTTTCAATGGAGATGTTTTGATGTTGTGGAACTGTCGTATTTGTACTAACTGATGATTCCCTTGTGCTTGATTGCGCGCTTATTACGAATTCCAAATTAAATGCGTTTAGCTGTACTCACCTAGTTGTATCTTCCTTATATTGCATTCTTCTGGGAATCCTAAGTTAGCATACTCATTCGAATACTTCTAATTATTATAGGAAAAAGGCAAACAATCATGTTAGGAGTTCCAATAAATCATCAAAATGTTGATTATGTCGATTATGCGTCTTTGCATGCGAAAGACGTATATGTAGCAAAGACTTAAGCAAAAATCCTTCGAAAGTAGTTTAGCCTAATTTCAGCCAGAAAACCTACTCTGGTTTGTAGAATTTACAAAAATGACTCAAAAGTGTTTAGTATATTATCACATGAAACATGTGAACATGGAATAAGTATACACTGAAATCATTAAACATATATTGGCAGCAGAGATTCCCACAAATATTTAAAACACATAAATTACGATGTTGCGACGTACTGAAACACCAAACACTGCTGTGGAAATTATAAGCCAGCGAGAGACCACATAAGGGATCGTATAAAGTTTATAAACAAAGATACTTATTATTACTGAGTTAATAATGGCTTAGTTCATAACAATTTTCATCTTGAAAATTTTTCGTATGAATTTTTCATTATTGTATTTACAATGTAGATAACAAATTTAATTCATATAATTTTTACTACTTATATTGACTTCTATACTGATTATGTACAATTTAAACATTCTCGCTGAATCTCGAAATCAGATAATGTGTTTTGAGTGAACATTTGTTTTTCAGCAATTTCTACTTATTGTTTAATGTATATCAAATGGTAAAATTTATGATTATAAATAATTAATATTATGATGGAATAATGAAGAAAGTACCCGTGGAAGTGTGTTCATCTTGTAGATGGTTTTTATTGCAAAGTAATTCAATGCGATAGTAATATGTGGCTTAACGTAGTTAATGAGTCCATGGGTGATCTCAATAAATTAACGTAACTAAATCATTCTTCAGTACTATGCCCTCAAAAATCTTAATCTAGACCCTAACTGTTAACAAGAAGAAGATAAACTGATGACTCTGTACGATGGGGTTGGCAACCCCATCTCATAGAAAAGAATCTTGCTCAAAAAGATCACCACCCAACGAAGAATATATATTAGGAAAAATTACAACTGTTTTTTACGTAGATCCACTTTGTAATGGCTATTGATTAAATCTAACTCATTAGGATTTAAATAAATGTTGAGACTTGAGTTGATTATTGCCTTCGAATAATTATCATGCTTTATTTTAAATTATCTGAAATCAAGAACATTCAAATATTGGTTCTTAACTAGGTGGAGTGGTTGGTCATTGGTAAATATCTTTTCCAAGTCCCAAGCATGAATAGAGCAGCCGTTTTACGCATATTTTGGTTTTCAACAGTTCTCTAGTTGAATTCAGTTCATAAATGACTAACAATTAACTATTTGTCGGATAAACTTTCTGTAAAAGTATTCATATATGTAAAGAAACGAAATAAGGATTAGATTATTCTTCCTTATTTTCATTAAGACAAAAACAGATATCACAGAAAAATTTAGTAACATGCCAGCAAGCAATTTTCTGAAGAAATAAACTATTGGGTTAACTGAAACGATTGTAATAATTAGTTACATAATTTACTACTTACTTACGCCTATTACCCCTAGCGGAGGAGCGTAGGCCGCCCACCAGCATTCTCCATCGAACAATCGGTTACATGCATATAAAAAATTATTGCGTCATTAGGAAATGATCCAAGTTTCCACGAAAGTAAAATTTCACAGGTAGATTCAAAATACACATATTTCCAGATGTTCAGCGAGTGTATGGAAAATTGAGACTAAGCAGTTGAGTGGTAATAATAGATAAATCACTCTGAAATGAAACATTGGCCAAATGTTAAGCACACGTACTTGACCAAGATATGGCCTTTTTGAGGAACGAGATATACCTCGTGGGTGGGAAAATGTGGTTTAAACTTCCAAGGGAAATATGTAAATATAAATAAGTTACAGTTATTTCTCGATTTGGTTAAACATCCAAAGCTTCGTTCTCACTCTTAGTTTTCTTCCTCGAGTAAATGGTCGAGTTCGTATTTAGGAAGCTTGTTCATTAGTATCAGAATCGTATACCGAAGAACATAATAGCGAGGAAAAATAATTTTATACTCGAATACAGGAACTAAAATATGAAATGAAAGAGAATCTCCAATGTTATCATGTGCATAATAGTACTGGCGTGATACCTCTGTAGATAGAAGTATTCACATTTTTGTGAGGATATTTAATTGATTTATTCAACTAGTGATGATCAGAATTTATGTCGAGTTAAATATTTATGATAATTAGAAGTATTTGAATTATAGTATGAACTAATAATCCCAGAAATCACGTGAGTGGATCAAGAACTACTAGATAAGCACGAACGAATGTATTGTATCTAGAATTCGAAACCAGGCATTCAACAAGTACAAAGGAGTTATTAGTTCATTCAAACACCACATCCGCCACAGCTTAAATTGGAGTCTAAGTGTCTGTAATCAATTGTACGTCTTTTTTTTCAAGTTCATACTGTGTCTGTCCGACAATGTATTGGATAAAGACTCCGTATTATCTAGAATGCACTCATTAGTATTAGAATTAACAACCGAAATCGGAACAGACTCACTTGCTTCCTGGGATTTTGTATGATCATCATGTCGGTTGAGTACTAAAACTACTGCTACCTAGAATTTCAACCATAGACATTCAGACTATTCTCCCCCACGAAATAATGTTGGATCTTCATATCCCCAAGTTATGAATAATGTGGCTCCATTTAAAACATCTTTCTCAATTTGACTAGAGTAAACATCGGAAGTGAATTTATGATAAGGACAAACAACAGTTGATATGGAATTATCTGAATTGTAATCAGAATCGAGCTCATTTAATACTCGTGCTTCGCACTGAACAAGTTTCCCACAAGAAACAAATGCATTGTGAGGACAAGTAATATTTGATATGACATCAAGATTTGATTCTTCTGAAATGGTTTCCTCAAATTTATTAAGAATGTCATTGCAGAGCAAAGGATCATTAGAAAAATCAGCATCAATCAAAACTACATCAGGTTTTCGATCATGATTAGGTTCATCCGAAATATTTTCACCAGATTTGTGAGAAATTTCATCAGAAACATGTGAATCATTAGGAAAAATCATATCTGGTACAATAACATGAGAAATCTGATAGGTTGATTCATTAGAAATTGTTGTCTCGCAAGAATCCTGAGTTTCATTTAACTCTGAACTGCTATATGACTCTAAACTGTCTTTTGAAATCGTCGATAAAGATAAATGATCATTATAAATATTCAGATTAATAGAATCAGAATCGAAAGACTTAATATTAGTTGCAGCAACATGAACAGTAGTATTACAAACTGACTGAATATGTCCAACATCAACACATTTAAAGCACTTACAATTACGAAATTTACATGAATTAAAAGGGTGGAACCTGCCACAGCACAAACATTGACCAAACTTGTGCCCATCCTCGTCAACTGCATCGCAATTCCCAAATGAATTATCTGCATAATCTTGAGTATACACTGGGATGGGGCGACGTAATGTAGTAGAATTTTTTATATCCTCATGAATTATTTTACGAAATCTCCCTTTACCGCATTCGAAATTTGTATACTTAGCATAGTCTAGAAGTAGTTCCTTGAGAGTTGTATAAGGAAGAGAAATGGGCTTTTCCGGTAAAGCCAAAATTTTTATTAAGCTATATGCTTCTTTTCCGATGAATGTGAGAAAATGTGCCACAATATTAATATTCTCATCATCTTCCTTGGTCATAGCCCAGATTTCGAACCTTTCAAAGTAATCCTCATAAGCATCAAAATCCGAATGAATATCTAACTGTTCCATCGCAGGCCCCATCGCGACGCCAATATGATAATTAGAAGTATTTGAATTATAGTATGGACTAATAATCCCAGAAATCACGTGAGTGGATCAAGAACTACTACACAAGCACTAACGAATGTACTGTATTTAGAATTCGAAATCAAACATTCAACAAGTACAAAGGAGTCATTAGTTCATTCAAACACCACAATATTGCTTATACGTGGATCGATTTTCACTAAATTCTTATGAGCACTTCCAATTATCAGGAATTTTAACTCGCTATTATTAACTATGTGCATGTAGGCAAGTTTAACGTTATTTTAAGTATTACACTGTACTATGGTTCTTAAGTGTTGATAGGTTTATGGCGCACATCCTTTTTAGGCATGTATAAAGAAATGTACACTCAAGAGAGTTTAGAAGAGGGAAAGAGTGTAACCTGAATAAAATGATCATTTATACGCTTTATGTAGCTGTGATTAAATGTGAAATGCGTTCACCTTTCATCCTTTGTATAAATCTCTGGATTGAACATTTGTCCAGCTAATTCAGCTTGGGTACCTAATTCGTATTGTTAATCCTCACACAGATAATGTTACTGGGAGCCAAATATTTATCGACGACCGTTAAGCGACGCTAAAGTGACATTGAGAATGTCCATGAACTTACTAGAGCCAAATGAGGGTCATAAAGCAGTGTGACAAATAATGATTATGATTTACAGTTGATGGTAAGGGTTATGATTTAGTTTTATGGTTTTCATCACGAACTGACATCAGCTAAAATGCCAAAACGCTGTTTAGACAAATAAGTAGATGGATTTTGCACAAAAATTTAAGACGTGTTATCCTAAATCTGATTGTTTTGTCCATAAATTATAGTCTCGCTCCTTAACCCTAAACCCTTCATTCTAACCTTAGATACCTAACCCTAACCACGAACAATGTGAAGACTTAGAAAAGGAATATGCATTTACCTGAGAGTTTGAGGCGAAGAATAATTTATATCCGAAATGACGAGTTTATTTGTCGTTGTTCCTACAACTATGGAAGACCCTAATAAATTCATTAAATAAGTAAAGTTCAACTGCATTTATCAATATCTTTTCCACAAACTTTTGATTTGCAAAAGCTGTGTTTCTGATTGGCTAAGAACTTCCTGGAAATTCGTCACGGTTGTTAAAAGCTCGTCCCCACACTAAACTCTTATCAAACATGCTATTATACTTAGTATTTATTATTAATACATATTCATTGTAAGCTCACCAGAAAATACTCATCTATTAGTTTTAAATGTAGTTTACGTGTGATATTTAGATGAGTATGGTTGCTGAAAACGTTTCATGATTAGCTGAGATCTATGTGTAGGAATTTGGTTAGGAAATATTAGACTTCTGGTGAATAAATAATATATTTGTAATATCCCAGTGAGTAGAAAAATTAGATTTTCTGACGTTTCGTGACTTAGTGCAAGCTACTTCTTCAGAAGATCTATTATTTATTTATAACAATCTCCTCAATGCTCAATTCACTCGAAATTATCAAGTCAAACCTTGGTAATGATACCTACAAACTCGTTAAACTTTTTAGTTTTCTACTTCTCTGCTGTTTGATCCATGAAGACTGCATTTTAGTTGTATTTAAATACATCACAGAAACTAGTTCGGGTAATTTGTATCCTAAAAAGTTATTTTGAGGTCATATCATTCGTTCGATTAAAGATTTGATGTCATTTAATCGTCAATCAATCGAAAACATAGAACAAACTAGTACTTATGCATAAACTGAAACGTAGAATTGTAATTTTACAGTGAATGAATGCCTTGTCCAAATTTTCTGACGAAATATTTCAAGGTCTGTACTAAAATCCAGATACAATAATATAAATATAATTGGTCAATCATGAAGAAATTGAACGTTTTGCATGTGATATGTTGTGTGATTGGAGAGCTAGTAAATATGGTCTGTACATTAACAAGCTTCGATATGACGCAATAAATAATTTATACAAGAGTCATTAACACGAACATATTAGTTGATGTAAAAATATCTTTCATAAAGACACTGTTTTAAAAGAAAAACATTATTCTAGTCATAACTTTGGTAAGTAAACATTTAGTTATATTTGTTATTTCTAGTTTACGTGTACTTGGTGGTTACTCAGTATTCGCAGAATTTGTTTGTCATGGACTCATTTCAGTAAGGGTAGCATTAAAAACTAGGGAACACTAAATAGGTATTTATTGTAGTGTAAGATTTCTCACCCCTACCTGCCCATAACCCTGCTCTCCAAAAGACTTGTAGGTTTTTCATTCAATCCTTAGCAGGGTAACCACTGAGCAATACTGAGGAGTTCCATACCTGAATGAAACAGTTGTTCAATACTTCCTGATTTTCAATGATACATCAAGTTAGACAAATTTGTGACGAATATACTATAAAGATGAAAATAATCTCCACAAAACTAGTTTATCAAAACTTGCTATTTCATTTGTTTAAACTTTTCATTTCATAGTAGAGTTAAACATTTGAAAACAACAACTGTTTCATTGACAGTTGGAAGCTCGAGCGAATCGTTAGTCTTATCTTTGTATATCATGTAAATATATTCACATTCACTACTAAAATACAGTAAGTTTAGTTACGGTATGCTATGGGAGTCGACGACATTTTTAGATGATAGTTATCACTTAGTGTTTTACGTTCGTTTTATTGATTTAAGCATTTTTTCGTACGCTTTGTTAGCGGTCATTTGATTATTCTTAAGAACATCTCTGTTTCTGTATAATCATCGAGAATAACCAACTGATCAATTACAATCTTTTATATCTTCATTCTTATGTAAATATGACGAGTTAAACCGATGCACGTATGTACCAGGTTCTAAGTTGCTCATGTCTGACTAATATAAGTATTAACAGACGGTCTTTAAGATCCTTTGTTTAATGACCGTGGGTTCTTGTCAACAGGGGATACCTAAAGCTTTAAAATTCACTCTAGGTTTGATATTTGTATCAACCTTTTCAAAACTAGTCATTTAAGCAATCAATAAATAATTTAAGTTTTTTCAAAGTTTTACATATACCTATTTGAAATTCACCAAATACGGTATGGGTCCTGTCAACCGCTTTCTAATTGAATTTTTTAAATCTACTGCTTGGATGCTTGTTACTGACTTTGTAGTCACTACTTATAACCCTAAACTACTTATACATTTCAACTAGAACAATAGAAAAAAGGTGTGAAATATGAATAAAAGCCTAACAACAAAGCCAGTTTATGTACAGAAAACGAAGTTTATTTATGGGATTTCCGACGACTTTGATCTAGAAACTCTTGGAAATATACAAAATATTGTGGCAACACAATTAGTTATTTAATCAAAATGTGTTGCACAAATCATTTCTTTAAATGTTTTTATAGGAAGCTTCTATTCGATGCTGATTGAGTAAAGTGTTTCCAACTTTTTTCTGGACATCCAGTAACTTCTGCAAGGGGAATTCATGGACTCTCAACAAACATTAGATATTACTTTTGATTTAAAAAGTTGTTATACTTTGTATAATTTTGACTATATAACTTTATTTTTTATGTATATAGAATATATCTATAGATGGCTAAAATTGGTAAAAGTGTACAAATCCCACTATCATGGATTCCACAAAGTAATGGAAAATATCCAGAAAATGCTATTTCTGTTGGTGATGGTGTTTTTGTTGTTCGATCTAGGTTTATAAATGAAATGCTTCCTGGAAAACTTATACCTAAAGAAGGAAAATGTTACTGTTCTCATGGAGGTGAAGAAATAGAGTTTACAGAATATGAGGTTCTATGTGATACTTCATTGCAAGAACTTGGAAAAGGGTATGCATATATACCAAACTAGTATGTGTATACAAAAATTTATATAATTTTTGTTATAACATTACAAAGACGAAATTTTATGAAGACTTCTTTTCTGTAGATTTGTTATGAATCTGGACAGAAAACTTTATAGGTTCAATTTTTTGTGAAATTTAGAACAGTCTTCTATCATGAAGGCATACTGATAGAGATTAGAACGTGAAATCATGTCTTATAAATTATAATTACTATTGGTCGGTGAATCTCCGAAGAATATGGTTAGATAAAAAGGGATATATATATATATGTTTAAACAGTCTTGAGAATGAAATGATTGAGAAGAAAATTCTTTTACTGAACCAAATCTTTGTGTTTGCTACACTTCACTCGGCTTATCCACAGCCGGAGGGAGATTCAAAGGAAATAAGGTTACGGTAGCAAAACAAGGGTTTGTAATAAATTTACGGGAAACGCTGCTAGTGCATTCTCGAACTATCTATTAACACTGATTGGCTGAATGACAGTCTGGATTTTATCTTTCTAATAGTTTTCTATTATCCTGTGATCAAGTAATGACAGTTTGTAGTTAGATAGAAGTAACCTGCTTTACAGCTTATAATTCGAAAGCGATTTTAAAAAGATACTTTCTCATTATTATTTTTACCACTTATTATCAAATTAGGTATGAATGGGTAAAGTCTTCTAGTGGGGAATATCCAAAGCATGCAATTATTGCTGGAATCGGTTCTGATGGAAGACCACTCTATATTGCAAAAGGATACGTTGAAAATAATATATGCGTCGGGAAGGTGAGGAAAAGCATCACATTTCATTCTTTGTAATGATAATAACAATGAAACTAAAGTTCATACCTTTAAAAAGCTATTTCACTCCATCTTCAGTAAATATACTATGAGTCTCTCTTTCAGTATGGTTGCTGTAAAGTTAATGTTATCATTAGCTATAAGTTTCAAGATGTTCATAGTTTGCTAGTAACATTCGAATTGATATGCTTCGAAACAATTGATCACAGAGTAGCGACTAGTGTCATTTTTGACTTGGGTTTTTAGCACTGATCGAATTCTATTGAGCTGTGATGTGGTTATTAATCTTAGTAAATCGATATTGAGTGAACTAAGTCCGAATTTTAGACGGTTAAAGAAAGTCGACCGCCTCTAACCACCTGACATATCAGTTGAATAAAGTGGTGGTTAAAGTTAGCCGACAAAACGTTTTACAACATGATTGATATTTGTCAGGAAAATATATCTTGAAGGACTTAATTACTTACAACTTCTAATCAAGAGTGCAAAATATTCAGTAAAGGGAAATATTATACACACGTATTCGTCACAGATCGGTTTCATTTAGAAGATCATTAAAAGCCAAGAGGGATTGGGACTCACTGGGGGTGCCCACTGATGATCTCACCAGTGATCGAATTCAGGGTCTTCAGGTCTTACTACAAACGCCTGATCAGTAGAACTTCTGGGTTAAATAGCTTACATTCCTAAATTAGTTCAATTCGTTATATTGCGCGACACTGTCATTGATGGATAAGTGCATCAATTGTCACATGTTTGTACACCACTGTTCATAGCGGCTAGGGTTCTACCCATAGTGGGGATGAGGATGTTATCCAGTGCTCCCTGGTTTTTAATGGTGTCAGAATCAAGATCTATCCGAAAAGAGGACAACTTACAAATCAAACTAATCTCGAAAAATCCTCTTCAAAGAAAATAACATGTGTTATGACCGTCTAGTCTTTAGTGCTGAACGTCTTCTATAGATTTAGTTTGAAATGTGGATACTGAATTTTTCATTATAATTAGTATGCAATAATGAAAATCAAAATTATTTGGGTTGAGATTTTAAACTTGATTCAGTCAACAGTTATTATACTGTGTTTTGATTATACTTGAGTCATTACATCTTCAGTAATAAAGTGTATTTTAAGGAGTATATTTAAATTAGTTTCCAAAACTGTGTTTATTATCATATTTTTCAAAATCGTCTTTTAGTTGCATGACGGTCATCAATGTGCTTATATGCCATGGGGTGGACGGGAGAATGCAATTCCAAACTATGAAGTACTTGTATGGAAAAAGATAAAAAATTAAATGATGCATTCTCATTGAATAAAATGACAGTTTATTATTATTTTTGAATTGAAGTGTTTTTTTTTAATTTATGGTTTCCATCATAAGCTAAAAGTCGATATGTTGTACCGGTTTTTGGTAACTTTCAATATTTGCATATAGGAATGTCTATTCAGAATCGGTTTACCTGTCTGAACAGAATTAAATCGTTACTTGATATGACCAGATATACCAAGTAGCATTCCATTCACAAGTTATAACAGTACTCACATGAAACAATTATTACGATCGTAGTACATGAGAATTTGTAATTTACTGATCAATTATGATAGTAATGAAAGCCTTTAATGTCAAGTGGTTTAAGATAAGCGATAGATATTCCTGAACTTTGGTTTCGTCCTAGCTGACACTCATCAGTCTTGATGGAAGTTGGTGCTCTCCGTTAATTTCACAATATTATTAAAGATTACATTATTTTGATTAAGATCATGAACCAATTGATGTTAGGCCACCATTCAAAACCTGAAAACACTGGACAGGCGTTTCGTTCTATTGTAGGATCTCATTGATCTCAATCAAAATCCTAATATTCTCCACAGTCCCATACTGATGATTACATTATTATTTAACATCATAGTTTCATGGGAATTTATTTTATAACGACCGAAGACAAATCAACGCTTGTTTATTCTCATATTTCATATGACAAAAATAATTTACGCACTATTTGTTACAACAAAAACAACCCATTATTTCATGTCCAAAATATAGAATGTCACTGATAATAAACATATCCATAATAATATTTATTTCATTCATTATTCGACTACGTTAAACAACGTGAACCAACTTAAATGAAACGTAGCACTGATTTGGTACATACCGATGATTAGAAAATTAATACCTATGTTTTTATTGGTATACTAGATGATGTGAGTTTGTACATGTGAGGAAAATCACCCTCTTTCAATATTCAATAAATGTTCACCACTAATTATTTCTCGACATTATTTCAATATAACATATAATGGTATGATTTTCAATGGTGATTTCATCATTTTGATTATCTAAATCTATTTAAATATGTTATCTATGAACACAACACTGTAGTGAATCTCAACCTACTGAATGAGGAAAGCAAGTAAAGTGAAAGTTAAAGGTTGGAATGAAATCTTCAGTAAAAAATTATGCTGTTAAATATAGCACTCACACACTATATAAACGGGAGAGTACTAGATATGACTCATGTATTAAACATTTAAACCCAGATGCACCACAAAGTTACGGGCACGTATCCTATCTCGATCGTAAAAAAGCTTACTTAAAAAATTTGTACAAAATCTCCACGTAAACCCAGTAGAAAAATGATATGTTGAAGCGATTATGAGTTCACTTAGTCTGCGAACGGAACAAAGACTTGTGACCAAAGACCAATAAAATAGGTATTCTGTTGCGTCCCAGCCCCGCTAACTAGAGAGAGAAGTCGAAGTCAAGACGGGGAAGTATATTCCGCAAAAAGCCAGAAGCACAAGTGATAACAACAAACACAAATCAAAACCTATACATACAGCACAAAACCGTCCCTGGGAAGCGTTACAAAATAGCATACTAAAAGATACAACGGACCAATATCGTTTAAGATTGCCCAAGTGAGAAATATGACATTAAGGTGTTAGAGCATTTTTGGCGCGAAAACAAAGCAATTCAGATTTTCAAAATGAAATTACAAAATTCGAACCTTTTTAAGTGAGTTCTGGGGATCTAACGTCCCCAACAAAAACATAATAATAAGTGTTGTGTTGGAATGAAAAATAAATGAATGGTAACTGCTAGGAATTATTTATGGACTATTATTACATATATTCCTATTGAATAACTATTAAGTAACTAGATTATACATAGTTATATTTCTGTTATTATAAGCTTTCATTTAACCTATGGGTTATTATTATACGACTTATTATTCTTAAGTTATTCCCAATCTATTAGTTATAGTCTTTCTCACTCACAGCCACTTTTTGGCTTGATCTTGTATTTTCTATTTTATAGTGTGGTGCCTTTTTGATTTACTTGTATATAAACTGAGTGTGTCTGAAATACATTATTCGTACGATGGAATCTGAAATTGTATTCTTGACTTAAACTGACAGGGCTAGGCGAGAGGAACTAATAAGGACTGAGAGTTGAATCTAGGCTGCTCGTGCTAGTTAACTCGTTATTGGTCTGGCACAGGGTCAAGGTCATACGAGTTGGTGTTCTGATTAGCGATCATATCACGTGGTAATTAATAGGGCAAAAGTCATAACATTAAGTATCCTTAAACTTAATTAACAATGAATTCATTGAGTCAATAGGACAAACGAATAAATGAAATCAACTTATGTGCGTAAAAAGATCAATTCACTTTTGAAGTAAACTAACAAATTGTATTAAAGTAGACGAGAAACTTTTTATATTTTTGTAATTATTTTTTAATTAATTAATTAATTCAATGTAAACATGATAATACACATGTCAACCTGAAAATAAAAAATAAAAAAAATTATGTTGAGTAGTTTATTAAGATTATTCAATTATGAAATTAGTTCTTTTAATGAACTAACCATTAAATTATTGAGTTAATATTTCACTACATTATTGTACTTACATTAGTGTGTGTGTATGTGTGTAACCACCTTCTACATAGAGCCTTTATACTTATTCTGAGTAAATGCCTAATGTAAGAATATTAAACTGATACAATATTCAAAAACATTGTAAGCACATTAATTCTATTTATCATAATGGCATTTAACATTTAAGTATTCTCATAGAAACATGTAAAAACAAATCATCTTAAGTGTTTACCTTTTTCTTGTTGTTAATATGAATGCCTGAATTTCTATTAATCTTTGTAAAAAGAAACTTTTTTACTGATTTCGGTGTATTAAATATGAATTAAGAAAATTTAGGCCTCTTACTTGATCAATATTCAATTTTGCTAATTAGTAGAGATTATTATCAGAAGGGGGTTTTGTGGAGATTTTAGTAATTTAATAGTTGAGTTCATGAGTCAATTAAAACTAGACCAACATGGAAAACCCGGAAGCACTGGATGGCTGTTTCGTCCTATTGCGTGACTCCTCAGAGGTGCGCATCCACAATCCCGCCTTGCGAGATTCGAACCCAGGACTTATCACTCTCTCTCACTGAGCCGGTATCCAATAATGTTATTGTCTAACTTCAACCAATCCAAAAAATTGCGCCATTGTCCGAAATTGTATTCACTGAGTTACTATCTCATACCAGAACTGGTTGAACTCCACTGGTCACGGCTTCCAGGTTTTTCATGATGATCTAGCTCATGGATTCAATTATTAGATTAGTAGAGATTAGTTTAATTTCATTGGTTTTATAATAAATATTATTCAGTTAACTTTGTTTACTCTTAGTATTTGATAAATCTATCAATAATCATAATGAAACTCTTAAATTATATAATTGAACAGAATAGAATATTTAAGCAAAGATGGATAGTGGCTAGCAGTGGAATCAGGGACGCGGTGGCTTTCGGAGCGAACGGTGCTGAGTTCGAGTCCCAGAGTGAACATCAACTCTGGGATACAGGTAAATACAGCTGACGCGTCCCAAATAGGAAGAAACGCACGTCATGGATTCCACTATTAGCCGCTATCCATCTTTGTTTAAAAAGCTTGTGACTTAAGTCCATATCGAGGCAATCCGCACAGAATGCACATGTGCCAACATGAGACTGATAAATTGCAGTCCTAAATAACAATGGGAAGGTCGAAGTAAAACAACACCAAGTGAATTTAGAATAGATTATGTTTCATAACATATTGAAATCTACTAGAAAGTTAGAATTAATACACGAATTTATGATATAATAAGCTAAGAATGATATTGAAATGATATTTGAAGCTTCTTTTCAACTTATTAATATTGAATCCATTTAAATTAAAAACAGTTTTTAATTTAATTATTGTGGCTAATAAAAGTATAGTAGTTTTAGGAAAGTGCATTATTTTTCCATGGTTGATTATTAATTTCCTAATCTTAGCAACATAATATCAATAATCTAAGTGTAAATGTAATCAATCTAAAAGTCTCTTTTGAAATCTTTATCATATCTAGATCTAGTTTTATAGATTGAACATTATCTACAAAATCACTAAAAATTAATAAAATAAAAGAATAAAATATTGATATAGGAAAGTTATGCTTCGAAATTATTATTGATATTAGCATTTTTTGTTACACTATTGATTTATATGTTATATACAAAAAATGCTTGGAAGCAATATCTTCAATTCGTAGTCTATGATGAATATGGTTGTAGAAGGATATTTTTAATTTCTTAAATAACTGACAAGTATTGTTTTATCAGATACAAACCATCCATTTCCTTCACATATTTCTTCTTGTATATCTTCTTGTAGAGTGAGACGGAGATGCATTATATGTATTTATATCAATGACATATGAGAAGAGTATTAGACACTTACTGAAATACTGTTTGCTGGGAATTCCATGTTATTATAAACTAATATTGAATAAAGCCATTATTCCTATTATTATCATTGTGAAAATGAATCATCATTTAAATGAATAAACGAAACGGACAACTAATACCATGATCTCTCTGTGTGTATGTGTGTATGAGTGAGTGAATAGTGAAGTGAACAAATATTGCATATCAGAGAATATTTGATTCCCTTGTTTTATTTCAAATTATTTACAAAGTTTCATGTTTTATTTATTTTTCGAATGATAAAATCAAATATTTATAGACAAATATTAGAAAAACTCTTGCCAACGGCTTTTTTTCTTTTAAGAACTTCCACATAGCCTTATGTATAAAAACCATAGTAATTATGGAAATGGAATTACTGTATTAACGAAAGTATAGAGTAAGTAAATGATCGTAAATTGATTATGCTGGGATAAGCCAAAGATGTTGGCTATCTCAAATGACATTAATTTATCAGAATAATATTACGATATTCCATGACATGATGTTTTCTCTGTATACAGATATTCAAGTAAAAATCTTGATTTTTTTTAGAATATTTATGATAATTTCAAGTGATATATATGTTCATAGGTGATTGATTGTCGAAATTGAATTTAATAGTCGAGATCATGGGTCGATTGAAGCTAGACTACCATGGAAAATCTGGACGTCCGTTTCATCCTATTGTTGGGACTCCTCAGCAGTGCGTGAGGCGGGATCGTGGATACCCATGATCTGGACTATCAAATTAATATAATAATAACAGAAACCCCTTTCCGATATTAAAATTGAATTTATCAGTGTCTCATCGGAAAGTCAGTTATCTTCGTAATTAGATTTTAAAAAAATCACAGTTGACATAATATATGGATAATTTATACCAATGAAGTCTACGAATAAACAGTGCGATTTTAAACATCGATATAAAAAGGCTAGAATTCAACCTATTAGTTAGGTATTGATTTTATCTGATTTATAGTTTCCATATCCTCCGTAATCATTTAGTTGTTAAATAACTCCTAATCACACTCAAGGTTGAATTAAATATTCTGTATAGTTGGGTGTTATTTTGTTAGAAGCACTAAATCTTCTAGCTTTTGGTCTTGTCTATGATACGTATGTAAAAAAAACTTGCTTATATGGTTAAGAATTTGTTTTGTTGAAACAGTTGACTAGTTCAATCATTGGAAATCGCAATGTTTGTATTATATTACTCCATTATCCACATTGTAAATAAACACTGTTGGTAATGGATAATAATGTTTTGTATTGAATATAAATTTTATCACACGACTCTTTTCAGTGCTCATCATCCTAACCAGCTTTGCTCATTGACGTTATGTTACGGTTGGAGATAAGATATATGTTCGTGAATTCGAGTTGACGATAATCGTTTTCTTTCACTGTTAGGTAAAAGTACTACATCTAATATTTTTGAACGTTCTTCCATTCATTTCGTGTCAGTGTCATGATATGAGGATTTTATTTCAATCATATAAAGTTATCAACATATGTCTTCTGTGAAGATACCACTGTTGTGCAACTTAAATTACTGGATTTAAAAAGCAAATAAAATGAAAGTTAGTGCTTAAATGGAAGTCTCCAGTGAAAATTGTGGTCTTAGTTGCAGCACTCATCCACTAAATGAATGAAAAAAGGATACCCGAAAATGCTTGATGTTACACGCTTATCAAACACTGAGAAATGGGTGCTCTACAAATTCATAAAAGTGTATCGTAACCTGAAATACACGAAAATAATTGAATATTGTAGGTTAATTTGAAATAAATGACTTGAATCAATTTCACTGTGAAAATTACGTCTTAAGTCAGTATTAAAAAACAGTTCTCATAACCCGTTCATAACATATATCATCTTTATGAACCCAAAATACTTTCAGGCAAGTACTTCAAACATTCAAACAAAGCAGAAACACGGTAGTGGTAGTGTGGGAAGTAAGTATCAAAATATTTATCTATGAATCAACGTTCGATTGTAATAACTGGTACTATGCCAAGCCCATATATGTTATTCTGGCTTCTGGACAGACCAATTTATTCATTTTCCTCAAGCTACACCATTCCAATTAGTCGCATATTAACACTGATCGTTTTTTGTATGATTGTATGTGTGTTAGTTACGAGTCTGTAATTTGTTTTTGTCTGAATATAAATATTTGAGTCACGCTTGATCCAAAACAAATTGACTTACTCGCCTTCTACTCATCATTTCGTTTTCCAGTTTCCAACGCCATTCGCCGCTTCGCTTTTTCCACTTTGTTTCTTTGATTGTCTCTCCAGATTATTGAGTATATAAAAAATACGTACTTAAAATTTATTTCATTCTGTTATTCCCGAACGCGAATTACATCAATAAAATATATGAGGGTAGCCGGGATGTATATTTCGATAATAGTCAGCATACGATCTAATTGGAGTTAGAAACTGAGCCACTAAACCATGATGGGTTTTGTAATTTTAATGTAATGGCTGATTTTAAAGTTTAACTAAAAGGATTGTGAAATCTTTTAGTCTGAATTATCTCTTAACTTATTCTACTTATTACATTTTGGTAAAATTATTGATAAGCCTCCATATATTTTATTTTAGTAAAAAAATATAAATATATATATATTTATTATGGCTAAAGTCGGTCGAGGTTTGCAAATACCACTTTCATGGATTCCAGGACGTGATGGATTTTGTCCAGCTGGTGCAGTTTCTGTTGATAACATATGTGTAGCACGAAGTAAACACAGTGGGGAATTATTGCCCGGAAAATTAGTACCAATGAATGGAAAATGTTATTGTCCTTATGGTGGAGCAGAACTAGAGTTTTACGATTATGAAGTGTTATGTGAAAGTTTTATTCCTGGTTCATGCAAAGGGTAAATTAATATATATATATATATATATATATATATATATATATATATATATATATATATATATATATATATATATATATATATATATATATATATATATAATGTACATATTACTGAATGGAAAGTTGTACATGATGCATTAAACCCTGCTGATAGGATGGATGATCTAATGGTGCATTGTACTGACAAATCAATTCATAAAATATATTTTGAACATGGATGTAAAAGTTGATAAGTAAGGCTGTCATTATCAATTATAAATCTAACATTCTATTATGGCGATACATTTGTCAGGTCATGTGTAAAACAAATCAAATTATGGAGTACTAAATTTGGAAGTTCTCTTGTGGCAAACATAACACAATTACGAACGTAAAGCATTTAATAAAATAGATTAATTTATTTGAGAATATTTAACTTCTAAGAACTACCCACTTTTCTAAACATGAAATTCCCAAGCAAACAGAACATTCATTAAGCATATAGATATGAATATTACGACAGTTTCTAGTCTTTTCCAGTTCCATTGAATATTAAAAAAGAATAATGTATCATAGAAAAGATGTCATTATTTTCTTGGTGATTTGACAAAACTGTTAAATTAATAATTTTCTTCATATTACTATAGCAATGTAAATTTATCTTACAGATATCGTTGGGAAAGAGAATTTGATGGTGATGTTCCAAAAAATGCAATTGTCGCTGGAATAGCTAAAGATGGTGAACCATTGTACATTGTAAAAGGTGTTGTGAATGGTGAAACATGTTTTGGAAAGGTAAACAACTACCCATATATATTTCATTGAGATCACAAATCGATACAAGTTAAACTACCATTTAAAACCTGGAAGGACTATACGGACGTTTTGTCTTGTCATGGGACTCCTCAATAGTGAACATCTGCAACTCCACAGCAAGGAAGATGGTCACTCAGTATCGTGCATTGGTTAAAGTTTGACGGGCAATTTATCGAATTCCTGCTCGATGGTCTAGAAGTTGAGTATTCTCTCTCGAAATCGAAACTTACGGGTTCGATTCCCGGTTGTTAGGTCGTGGGTAACCACTACTGAGGAGTCCCATACGAGGACGACACGGTCGTATAGTAGTTCCAGGTTTTCAATGGTTGTCGGACTTAGATCGCTTCGTGATGTTAGTGAAATTCAATAATCTCTATAAACCCACACTTGTAACTTTATGGACTTTCTTAATAATTTGCAGATACGAAAATTGCCAGTCTAGAACTTGCTAGTTATTAGGTTTCTGTTAACCATTTTTGCTTACTGTTGTGCTTCAAACTGAAACAAATACTGTATATTTATGCTTTGCTTGAGTGTAGCATCACAACAAAAGCCTACTTCTACTTTTCAGTTGATACATGGTTATTAGATAAGAGTATTCAACTTAAATCTTCATAAGCTGATAAATTCTTCAGTCTATTTCATAGTAGTCATAATTTTGTTTTTGAGTTTGTTTAATTGATGTAATAATGTGACACTACTGCACAGTGACTATAGATTTATTTAATATTTAAAGAAGTTATCAGAATGCAAATTTAAGTTGATTGATTATCACTTTATTACTTAAATATCTTATTCAACAGTATGTTATTATGAAAAGTAGATTATGCAATTAGGAATGTGTATTAAATTGTTATAACGCTGCCTTTTATAGTTTCTAACAAAAAAGAAATATTAACTCAGTAAAATGTTCTCAACAAATTAAAATCATTTAAATCAACTATAATACTTTGTGATAACTTTTCCTGACAAATACCCCTATAAAGGATTTGATATTTTTATGACAAGCTAAGCAAACAATTTAATTTCAGAGGAACATGAGTAGTTAACAAAACTCATTAGTCTAGTAGTATGAAAGTATTTTAGTTAATTTCCAAATCGAGTTTTTGGTTTCAATTAACTTAAAATACATATATGAGAGGTAATGATTCAGTGACAAACCAGTTAGAGATACAAGTTTCTAACCTAATGATATTAAATATGGAACAGGAACCCTAGTAGTATTTTTTTTTACAAAAGAACAGTACAATTTGTTTCTTCATCTACTCGAATTATTGAGCGATTAATAGTGGTCTTTACAATGTATTATCATCTGCCGACTAGTATAACTATTTAATACAACTGATCACTGAGTACTGATCAATGTAACTTTTATCTGATCCTTGGTGCTGATAAAATTTCTTCGATCAAGTTGCAATATGATTACTTGTCGAGGTGACCCCAAATTACGTACACTATGTTTTTGGCCACTACGTGGTGATCAATAAGTACGACTGCTTTTTGGATGAGTGACAGAACAAAACCTACTTCAAATAGGGTACCTTATCAACAACATCCAACCACTAAACATTGTGTTTGTTCTGGTGAAGTTCCGTTCTCTGAACTGTATGGTTTAATAGTGGAGGCTTCGTTGTTTTTCTGAACAACAATGAAGGCATTACGACTAAACCATCCAGGTTGGTAAACGAAACTCCATCTAAATTATCCACCTGAGCTATACATTTTCTATATCACTGTGATCATTCATTATTTCAACTACAAAGCTGATTGACTGGTCAACTGAATGGTTAGCTGACTAAATACAAGTGATTCCTTAACGTTATGTACCCATTCTTGACATTTTTATCTTCATTTATATATTTCAGCTACATGAAGGTCATTCATGCGCCTACTTACCATGGGGTGGTAAGGAATATTCAGTCAGTGAATATGATGTACTTGTGTGGCAGAAACATTGAGATTTAAAATTTTAAATACTGTTTTGTACCGAAGACATCATGAACTTCACACATCAGATGTTTTCTTTTTATCTTATACCATTTTGTTGTTTGAAATATTTGAAGATGTGTGAAAATAATACGTCTTTATACATTGTTAATCCATCATCTTATTGCTGAATCTACTGATGAATAGTGATATCTGGGGAAATGAATAGAAAACCTTCGGTAGCGTACACATATAGAATATTTATTTGATATTTAATAAAAGTAAATTTATTCTAGCTTATATATTAGATAACATTAAGTTATAAATGTATGATAATGAGTTTCTTTTTGAAGCGAAGTAATATGATTGGATGTTTCATAAAACGTAGTTAAATAAATCTCGTAGACCAGTGTGAAGATTAAGTGACTAGTAAAATGATTTTATATTCATGAATTACCATTCTAGGATATGTTGTAAAGTTGTTCATTTTGTTACTAAAGTGGAGTGTATTAAAAGGAAATGAATGATTGTAACGTTTGAAATGCAAAGAAAAACAACTTAAGAAGGAAATTTATATGCTTGAACATTATGAAACAAATTTCTAACATTTATTTCCGTAGATTAATGTTTGGGCTACTATCTTTATAAACTAAACTTGTATTAATTTTTCTATAATCACATTGTGGAGGTTTGTAAATAAAAGATCAATTGCTGTTTTTATGACCATGTTATGCCCCGATAATAATAATGAGTGGTAAATTTTGGGATCTATTTATGGACCAATACTGTGCGTATATTTTTGTCGTATAATTGTTAATTAACTAAACTATTTAGATAATTAAAATAACCCATAGTGTCACTGAATAAGAAAAAGAGAATTCAGCGAAAAAAATTTTCTTTTCGACGAAATCATTTACTTAAGCTGTACATTCGTATTTATAGTTAAATTACTGTTTTGGAATAATATTATCCGACCGGCAATTTTTTAAAAATTTGTCCCTCGTTCCAAGTATAAGTGATTAGCGTTTTTTTTCGGCACAGCAATCAGCGACGACCAGATATAATTAACAGATTGTGGATATCTTAAACCATAGACAAGATATGGAAAATGAAAATATTGTTTCAGCATTTTTATTTCCTAATGACAACATCCCGAACATTTCTACATCATAGGAATTTCGTTGTCACATTTGAGCAGTGTACCATGTTCTTTAAGATTTCCACTTGTTTAAACGTTAAAAACAAGTTCAAACAAGCTTTTCGACAGATTGCAAGTTTTGTTGTGATCTATTCTCTTCGTTAACTGTCTTGTTGTTGTCTTAGATTTCATGGAGTCAGTGAATACTGTAGTTACTGTTGATTTTAATATATATATATATATATATATATATATATATATATACATATTCCTGTAGTAATAATACGAAGAATAATTACAACATACGATAATGTTGATGACAGCTAGTAATTCTGTTTAAATTCAGTCATGATTATCAGCCATGAACATGAGTATTAAGAGCACATAAATATGAAAGCTATTGCGTTTAAACAAATTGCTGGAAATGAACTGGTTACTGTATATTAAAAAGTAGCATAAAGCAATATACAAAAAATCAGTTGACTAAGAAGAAAATAAAAAGACATTTATTACACGGTGGTTGTTATTCCTCACCCCGTGATAATGAGAAATTTCTGGGTGTGATGAAAAAGATTTAGAAATTAATGATTAGAGAACTTATTTTCCAAAGTGTGTGTTCATGTGATAATGAACAAATATGTTGCTTCCTGTACTAATTTGTAGGGAAAGAGGAAGGTCAAAGAACACATTACGTCGGGAAATAGAAGCAGATATGAAAAGGATGAATAACAACTGGAAAGAGCTGGAAAGGATTGCCCAGGATAGGGTTGGATGGAGATTACTGGTGGGTGGCTTATGCTCCTTCACGAGGAGTAACAGGCGTAAGTAAGTAAGTAAGTGTACTAATTTGTTAATTAGCTGTAAACCGTGCATCGTTGTAATCTGATTAGTTCAAATCTAAGTAGCATAAACTAGTTTGATTAGATGTAGGAATTTGTATTTTTACATTTGAATATTATTTTAAATAAATAATTCTGTCTGACTTTTCCATTCCTGTCTGTGAATGTATATTGGACAAACCTTTTTCGATCAAGGAGAAATTGAACTGAAGCCATTAGGTATCATGACAAGAGAAATAATGCGCATATCAATAAAAGAAAACTGGGTAAAAACTGACAACTGTTTTTAATATTTGATAATAGTCGATACTGAACTTGAAAAGTAATCAAATGTTTAATGCACAAGTAGCAATCTGATTTTTATCTAAGTATTTTCATAAGTTATTTTAACACATAGTTTGGTCTTGTAATAATCATTCTATGTGTGTAAACATATGAATAGATCATCGTGATAAAATAGTGAATAGGGTATGTATTATTCACACTAAACGTGGAGGATCGGTGAATGAATAAAATTAATTAAATTAATAATATCTGAGAAATAAACAAATAATATTTATGATTCAGTGACTTCGTCAACAGTGATTCATAACAGAAAAGTGTTGTTGAATTTAAAAGTGAAAATGGTTTCATTAATAAATGCAAGATTATAATTGCGTAATTTTGCTAATCCATTAAAAATGAAAATTGTTTTGAACTATACATTGTCCATTCTATGTAGTTAATTACGTAATTGTAAGACTAAAAGTTTTATTACGCTATCGTGCTTCAAGAACACATGGGTTAGTGAATTTCTTACGGAAATAGTACGAAACGCATTGGATGAAATTGTTAAACGACTTCACTGAGAATTTATGTTAAACGCAGTGATAGCATAATGGTCATGTGAAAAAAACAGAAAAGGTGTTTAGATTGAGATTAACAAAAAAATAACAAAATGAATTTAAATCAAATTGTCTATGTCCCTAAAAAGGGCCTTTACTCGGTCTCTCAACATTTCGAATTGTCCTGAACAATGAAACAACTATAATTCCGTCATCGCACCTCTCATGAGACAATCCAATCTATGGAATTGTGATTGTGGGTCCCAGGTATAAAACCAATGAAACATTGCATTGCAACGACAAAAAGTCCAAGTGCTTTCATCAGCAGTTTCATTTAGCAACTGAGCAAGATTGTATATGTCACACAGCCTGTTGTCATGGTTATATTTGTCGGTGTTGTTGTCTCGTTTGTTGAATTCTTCTGAGTTTGTTGAGACAATACCATCTTCATTATTTAACGTGGCATCCAAGTCCACTTTTGTTCAGTAGCTGGGACTTCACATCTGCTGGATTACTGGCATTGGTACATCCATGAAAATGGAGGCTTCCATCTGGTACTCAGGTGCGGAGTATAACGTTAACGGCATTGGGAGCATCGTAACGTAAACCAATTGATGCGCAAAGTTATAAACAACACTACATTATTCCTCAAATATACGCCTAACTGAGGAATACAATGTTTTTTGAATACTTGGGTGTCTTAGTTGAACAGGGAAGTAATTGTCAATAGCCATACTGGTGAAGTTACCGTCCGATAACAACCATCAGCGTTCACTTTGGCATTAGTGCGTGTACAGAAGGCCTAACCTGACATTTACAATATAAATAGGCACATTGCTTACCAGGAAGGTTGGCCTGTGAGAACACTTTGTGGGGCATGTTAAAAACATCTTGGGGATTCAGGCGCTTTCCATAACTTTGGTAAACGAAGTGCACAATATTGAATGCTGCTGTCCCAGAAATCAGCAGAGGTTTCACTGTTTCAAATTCCTCATCAGTCAACATGCATATCCAATAATTTTTATCGTACCTTAATTAATCGTACTCATGATTGTGATGCACATTCCCTCGAACAACAATCCAGTGACCTTCGATAAAATACGTTAGATGAAGGCTGGACATTGAATGTTCATTACAGTCCTTCATGAGCAGTATAATAACACTATTCAAAATACCTCCGTCTATTCGGCTGTGAGGATCCGCTTGGTATTCTACAGTCATTTCTCCAACATATAAATTTATTATACGGTTTCTAATCTTAATGGAAATGAGAATCGCACACTGCATAATGGCATTACGTCGCCTTATCATTAGTTCTAATGGCGCTTTTTAACTCTCTAAGCGATTGGAACGCTACCAGATACAGCGTATTTAAGAACATGTTATCCGTGTCCATGACAACGTTCGAAACGATAGAGCTTGAACTTTGTACGTTATTAACGTTCATAATTTGGAGAAAAGTTGATTTGTCGAAAAATAAATAACCAATCATTACCTAAATTCACTTGGTTTTGTTTGCTTGTATCTTGTAATATCAACGCTGGGATGCAGGTACATCCAGCTGACAAGTCCCAAATAGAACGAAATGAACTCCCTGGATTCCATTGTTAGATGCCATCCATCTTTGCTTATAAAATAATTATTACCTATTTAAAATTAATCATTTAATTGGAAGAAACGGTATCAGAAAATTAAAAAAAAATGGGATGGAACAAGATTTATTTTAAGAAATACGAAAATCTTCGTGAGTCAAGTGCGTCCGAATCCCGTGTATGGAATCGTGGATGTGCACTGCTGAGGAGTCCCATACTAGGAATAAATGGCCGTCCAGAACTTCCAGGTTTTCCAGTGTGGTCTAGTTTAAATCGACTCATGAATTCAACCATTAAATTACTACAATTTCCACAAACCCTCCTTCTGAAAGTGATATTCTATTAATTTTGGTTAAGGATAATATTCGGCTTAAATAACATCATAGTCAACTTTATCAATGATCCATTCATATGTCAATATTTATTATAAGTACATGAAAGTTTGTAACTTGTATTCGGATAAATTATCAAACACACAGTAGGCTATTTTTGGTGAGGAATGTTTAATAAGACAAAGTATTAATAACCTTCATTTTTACTTACTATAACCTCTAATAATCTCGATAAAATGTATTAGTGATGAGTTGTGTAGATTCATCTTACTAACTAATTCGCAACTATTTGATGAAGTAAACTCATTATCATAATAGATAAGTTGGACTGGAGTAAAATACTCAAATAAATTCCCATCTAGTCAAATAGAGTGATTTACCTATAAATGGATATTGTTTACTAAATAATAAGTTACAAATATTCATTCGAGTCCTAGAATGAA